TAATTTTATTATAAAAAAATTCCTTTGGAGCGAACCTCTACATTTTCCTCTCCTTCTCTCTCTCTCTCTCTCTCTCTCTCTCTCTCTCTCTCGACGCCCCCAGTATCAAAATATATTAAAGTAGAGGAAAAATGAGTAAAAATTGGAAAGTATCAGTAAACTTTGTAGCGCGCAGGAGAGCGTTCTCTTGTCACGCCTTTCCTCCTCATTTGAAACAATTTCGGCCGACGGGTGGAATCAATTGCGAATCCGTTCTTTCTCTCAGACTTTCGCGGATACGAGCGAGAGAGAGAGAGAGAGAGAGAGAGAGAGAAAGATAGAAAGAGAGGGAGAGAGGGATATCGTCGGTAAACCGCACGTGGACGCGACAAAAACGAAGCAGCGCGGCCGGGCCGTCGTCTCGATCGGATAAGGGAAGAACGGCGTTTCGCCCCGGGACGTCGCGATCCATTTCCTGCACGCAGCTTAAGCGCTGCCGATCTCCGCCGTGACCTTATTTCGCAAACAGGAGGCGACAGGAAGCGGCTGGAGGTGAGGACGGAAGCTCTCGCGCCCTTCGCCGAGCCGTGACACGCCAAGAGCAGCGGGGAATCGTTCGCGTAGACGACACCGACGACGACGACGACGACGACGACGACGAGGAGCGAAGATCCCGTCAGCCAGTCGATCGGCACGATCGCGCCGCCAAGGCCCTTTGACGATTCGACGCAAAAAGGGAGCGGAGAGAGGGCGAGCAGGAGGGGCGACTGGAAAACACTCGGCCATTCATATAAACGAACGTGACCGCCGCACCTCCGACACTATTATTCGCACCTCGAGAAAGGCACGAGTGTCGTCCTACGCGTCCGCACAGCTTCGGCTGCGCGATAAATCGCCGTTAAGTCGAAATTACGATCGTATCGGCCGACCGGTAGCGTCGGTGCGTGCTCGGGCAAATCGTGCGAGGCTTATAAGTCCCGCGTTCGGCCCACCATCTGGTGGACCGGACCGGACGATCGTATAACAACACGCACGTTCTCGTATTGACGATAATTGCCTGGCGGGGGGAACGGTGGGGAGGAGGGTGCGCGATGCCATTCGTCCGCGCGTTTTCCGCTCGCGCCCGGGCGCTCTCTGTATCTCTGCTACCCCGACGACGGACGACGGATGTGTCGTTTTATTTCGCGCCGCGGCGTCGTCGCACATCGCGCACGCTGAGAGACCCGACAAACTATCTGCGAAATACCGTACATACATACTGAACGAACGTTCTCCAGTGCCGAAAACAGGTTGAAAAGCGGTTATTAAAAGTTGCTTGCATTTGCCGAAAATTGTATTTGTGGAATACGCAATATCGAGCGAGTGACTAGACGTTTTCGTGGCGCCTCATGACCCCGCCAAATTCTCGCTCGTCTATGGAGAAAGTTTGGCCATATTTGGCCAACTAAAGTCCCGAGATGAATTTTCGTCGCTGTTATTTGAAAACGCCCTGCGCGCACGAGCTTACGTTGCATGCGTCGTGTATTGTGTCACTTATGCTAATTTCGGGACCTTTTGAATGACGGCGGAGGGTTCCGAGGGCACGAATTGTTCCTGCGGATCTTCGCGTCAGCGTCTCGTCACTGTCACGCGGGATTAGAATCCGGTTTTCGATTCACGCTGCACCCTGTCGATGAAAATAATAACGGCGAAAGGGGGCGCGCTGCGTCGTGCTCGGCGCACACGCGCCGAGCGTATCAAGAGACACGATAATGTCTCGCGCGCGCGCGCGCGCGCGCGCGGCAAATGAACGCGCGCAGCGAGGAACACGACGTTCTCTCTCCGCTGAGCGGAGGTACAATTTGCCATACCGCCCCAACGGCTGATCCGAATGATCTCGGATTTGGTACAGTAATTTCTTTTTGCATTGTTATTTTCTCGCAAAGGGAGACGAGCGAGAGGGAGAGCGCGCGTGAGCTTGATGCATTTTGTCACTTCATTTTCTTTCTCCTCCTTTTTAATTTCTAAACCTACGCTACGACACTCGTCGTCGTCGTCGTCAGCAGAATGAAGCACGCGTTTTCGCTCGCTTTGTACCGTCAGGAATTTACCGTGGCTCAAACACGTCGCCGCTCTGCCGTATCGCTGTCGATTTAATTGCAATTTCCAACGCGAGTGAAAATTACCCACGCGGATCCGCGTTTAAGCCCTCCGAGATAGAAATGCTGTTTCTTCCCTCGAACCTCCCTGAAAGCGCATTAACCGTCCGGTCCGTCAGCGTGTCGTCGCGCGTGAGATAAACACGTGTATTAACCCTATAGATATTAGGGGAGATGGAGGAAGAACATAAAGTGCGCATTTCGAAATTGCTTTTCATGAGAATGGAAGAGGGAGAGAGAGAGAGAGAGAGAGAGAGAGAAATAGAAAGATATATACATAATTAATGCATATTTAATTAATTAATACATATTTATTAATGCATACATATATATATATATATATATGTATACATATCCTTTTGCAATATTGATTTGCATGGAGATTACTAATTAATACTTATATAATATTAAATAATCATGCACTGATTAATAGACAACACTAATTATTGGTAAATTATATTGTATTTAATAAAATATACATTACAATGTATATCTCTGCCGATTCTGCCGGTATCAAGATACGAATTTGAGGTGAGGTTTTTATCAATGTGTGTCGATATAGAACGAGTGGAATTCATCTCTAAAAAGATTTAAGAGAGTTACATTTCAATAGGTGGAGTTGAAATGTACGAAACAATGATATGAATTTTAAACCGCTTTTTGTATTCCATGTGACGAAATTTGGCATACTATTTGAAGAGTTAAATGTGTCCGAGTACAGTGGCTCTTCCGCAAATAGTACCGCGCGCACATCGTGCCGTTTTGAAATCGTTTTAATTGCATATGCACTCGGCCGCGTGCGATTGTTATTGGTCAATAGTCATCATCAACCGGCTTGCCCAGCGCTGTCATATATTGATCCAGTATTCTCGGTAATTATGGATTATATATGTACGTCATTGCGTAGCCTGTGCGTATTTCAGCCCGGTTAATCGCAGCACATAAAGTCCATGTAAAATATGTCACAGATGTGAAGCGTAACGTTACACATGACATGAGACGAGAGAGAGAGAGAGAGAGAGAGAGAGAGAGAGAGAGAGAGATGTAGCCATCCATATTTTTATGTCTTTTGAGTAAAAAATACTCGTTACATCAAAGTTCAAATTAAACTTTTATTACCGCTGCAAGTTTGAAAAAGAGCGCTATAGGGATAATTGGCTTGCGAATTGAGTATCGGGGTTCTATAAAAAAAAAATGGAAAATTGTAAATTATTCATAAAGTCATAATTGCATCAAGCTACGAAGATCGCAATTCATATTAGTTGAACGCAGAGTATAAACAGTGTCATTACCGTGCTCATGAATATCAAACAGCAGTGTTACCCCAGCGTCGGGGAAATGTTATTGTTTTTTTTAGTAGCGCAATAGATTTCTTAAAAATGATGTTCAACTAGTTTTCTACCTTCAACACGTATCTTCTTTGTAAGTGTTCAATCTTGAGTAGAAATAACACGGAAAGATTTTACGGCCAATTAACGATACAAATAATCCTGAGTAAATGTAAATGTAAAATATTATATAAACGATATATTGCTCTTTGATTAAATAATTCGTTACCGTATCTGGATTTTATCGCGCGCCAAGACGTGTTCAGCATACTCAGCATTACATGGCATTCTCTTCTTTCCCTTCCGTAAATTTATGTGCCATTCCACGAAGCATCATCCGGTGTACAATCACAAACGTTGTTTTCTCAAGAGCAGATTCGTGGTCCAGTCGCAAGCGGCTTTGGGGATTAAAAGACTGCGCGGTTTCTTGTAACGCCGTAAACGTACAAGGGCTCCACCAAAAAGAAATTCCTATGTAGTCTGTCGTAAAATTTATAACGGAAAGAGGTTGTAATTTAACCGAACGTACTAAAGAGCAGTTTGTTAGTATGCTTTATTGCAAATTTGAAAGCCTTTACCGTAATCATCCTTGAGTAGCGTCAAGGTGAACGATACAGGAAAGTCAACTGTAATATTGTTTATGAAACTTCTCTCAAATCTAATTATTTTCGTTAATATCGTATATATATGATGTAATATTATAATAAATGATTATTTCTCCCTTTTTAATGGTAAATTAAATATTAAATCGCATATAATATTAAGCAATTATATTTAATATTTATTATATGCGAATTTTATGTTTTTGTTTGTTTTGTTGTTATTTATTGAAACTGTTTAAATTTAATTTCTTATGCACGTCAAATATCGTTATTTTGATGTATAAAACTAGCTTATTAAAACAAAGTATCTTTCATGAGGATGCTGTTGCCATCTATGAGCTAAAGAGCGAATCAGTGAATTCTTTCCTCGAGCGTATCATTTTCGGGGATAAAATCACATTTCTACACATATAATTTTATTAAACATCATTACAAGTACACTGCATGTACTAAGATTATGTAATTTTATTATATCATATCTATAAACTTACCTTCTAATTAATATAATTTCATGATAATCCTTGAAGTGAATTGTGTTTTGATCAATAGATGTTACTACAGTTGATTTCTAGGAACACAGACTTTTCCTTCCGTCGGTCATTAGATAAAGCAAAATAATTTTAAATATAGATCGATCTTGATATAATTGAAATCATTTCGTTAATTATTACTTAATTTCGTTTAAGGAATAATATGTTTGTTTGAAGAGACATTTTTGGTCTAAGAAGGAAGATTGTATTCTAAAACTCTGGGATATTTAAAATAAGTAGATATGTATTTTTCATAGAATTAAAAGACATAAAATATATAAAATGACAGAATATAAAAATAAAGTTTGATATTAATTTTATAATAGATGATAGTAAATCGTTAAATATTTTTCAAAATTTACGTTTGGTCATAGTTTAATAAAAAAAATGCATAACAATATTAATAATAATAGATTAATCGTATCGTCTGTAATTTTATCATACTAATATTATTGGGCTCTATATACATGCTCTACTTATCGAAGATAACAATATTAGGTACACTAAACTTGTAATACATATCGCAGCATAAGTTTGTCAAAAATATATATGTTATATATATATATATATAACATGGCCGCTCAACTTGTATCTATAATAAATACAAACATCGCTCGCGTAAGTAGCACTTACTCAGCCTTAGAATCCATTTGCCGTTTAAAGTTTCGAAATGCGGTATACACTTTGTGATTTTGTCAAAAGTATAAAAAAGAAACAGAAAACAATCATAACTATATATATATATATACACAGTCTTAAACACTCGCGAGGATTGTGCTATAAAGTTTATATTAATAGCGCGACAGCTCTGAAACACATTTCTTAAAGAAAATATTTACAGCGTCTTCGTAAGGCAATGCTGGTGTATTAAGATTGAAACAGTTCGTATAGTCTGAGTTGCTTGAATTTGAACATATTTTGCATTGTATACTTTCGAAAGTTGTCCAAGTGTCCATGTAAATCCACGTCGAAGCTGCACATGGATCATTTGGAGTTCGCTTTGGTATTAAGTCTTGAAATGAAGTCCATCGCTTGATTGTCTCCCTTGCGATGTTCCAACGCGCGAATTACATCCGTACCTTGAAAATTTGCACATATATTTAATATGGAGTTAATGCATGGCAAATATAAACAAATTACGAACACGTCGAACGTCTTATTTCAAGTTGGAGAAATTAAGTGCAGCATTATTGTCATCAAAGCCGAAGTAATTTAGTCATTCAGTTATTGTAAGATGCAAGCTATCGTTGTTTGCAAAATATAAATATTGGATAGAATCTCATTTATTAATTTACATTATTAAAAAATACGTACTTTTCTTGGTTGGACGGGAAAGTTTTAAGTGAACTTGTTCCAAGGATTCGAAGCCAGTTTCTGGCTCAGTGTCAGAAATCTCGTTAAATGATAGGAAAGCTTCAGCCATGAATCTTGCACGAAGGAAATCTTTGTCCTTGACCTCAAATGACACTATAGCGTCCTCTGTCGCTCTTTGTTCCGGAGTAAGAGTACTGAAAACGTTAGAGAATATTTTTGGTGAATATTCTACACTTTATTCTACATTTTGTTTACTATTTGTATGTAATATCTTCGATATGAAATAATAACAATCAAAATTCTTACTAACATGTTGAATGTTTCGTCAAAAAGGGGGAACAGCGTTTCTTTCTGCACGTGCGTCTTCGGCAGCTTGATTTCGACGAATTTTTCTTCGGGTAATAGCCTTATTTTCACGTAAGAGTCGCATTTGCCTGAAAAACGAACATAGTGAAGTTGTATCTTAGACAATGGATTCAGATATTCGAAGAAACCCAGTGAAACTATTCATGCACGGTGAAGGTGATTGTCATTGTCGGCGCGCAATCTATTCTTATCGATGAGGTTCTCTAAGAACGTGAGAACTTAATTACACGACGCTCCCGACAATTTACGACGTGTAAAAATCATTCGCTAATAACTTTAAAGAACCTCACAAGACAAGATTACAGCTTATCGACGTAAACAATACTCAGTGCCAATATTTGATTCTTTCGAAGACCAGGAAGACCATTGTGTTTGCTAAAGGCTATTTTTCTACTCGTATGAAATGTCAGTGCAAATCCGTGCCATGCATCTCCAAAATGCTGTTTCCGCGAGGGCAGGCAATTTGATAGATAATTATATAATAATGATGTGGAAGAACTTTACATTCGCTTTTACATACTTGTCTTCCCTTCTTTCAGTCTTTGTTTAGATTTTGAGTGCAGTTTACGCTCGAGAGTAGACAGCTTGCCTATAAAATTGCCTACAAATCGAAAAAAAATATCATTCCTCCTTTCCGACTCCGCGGTCATTTGCACCGAGGACAACTGAATATATCGAGATCCTTAAAATTTTAACTCGTTCTCGCGCAAATGAAAGAAAGATCCACAGATTTTTGCTCGCAGCCTGAATTGTAAGTTTATTTAGAATTATTTAATCTCCGTTTGTATCGCCAAATATCCCATATTCCGTTTGTTACATAATTTTCTCTTTGTAACCGTGAAAGTTATTTCGAGTTTATTCAACCGAGTAAACTTCCGGCTCTTTGCTGCAGATGTTCCTTCTAGTCTCAAATATTTTCGCGATAAATTTTGTACCATGTACGTATAAATGTGTAAAATTTTCACACTCTCTCACGAAAACATGTTGTCTCGCTTACCATTACTGTCCATACAATGAAGATTCCTGGCGTTCAGAATTTGTATGTTCAAGGTGTTGTCAATGAAGTGAGCTTTGACGGTGATAAGACCGTACATGGGTTCTTCCATTTCCTTCTGTTCTTCGATGCGCTCTTGATGGTAACGATGAATAAGCTGGGCGGTTTCAAGCCCGTGCAATTTTAGGAGACTCTCGATTTTCTCCAGCACTTGCACGTTCGCAGTCTCGTCGGCGCCAAAGTTGAAGAACCGTATAAGCGTGTGAAGGGTGCGATGCAAATTGGAGTAGAATGCTGGCGGTCGTCGTTTCTGTTAGCGAGAAAATTATTCCGTTGGAAATACTGGAGCTCGCTTCGCGAGAAATGGGAAGTGCGCACTTGTATTTCTGGCAAGTACCTCTAAATTGTTGTTGACTAGCTCGTACAGCGTCTGCGACATGATCTCCCAAATCACAAGGAGAACTCTATTAAAGTTATCCTCGTTGAGATTGTCATGCAAAGTGGTTAGATTGCTGTCTAAATACTGCAGTAGGCGATCCATGGCGTTGCTGGTCGTATCGATTAATTCGGCGCCCTCCACGAGGTATCTAGAAGTGCAAATTAATTTCTCAATAACTTAAAAATTTTGATTAAACAAAGGATTGTACATGTGTTATTCCGAGTTACGCGCAAAGATTATTCTTTTATTAAGAGATACGAATTTCTCTTCGCACCCCATTTACCTGCTCATCGCTGGAGCCATTTTGTTAGCTACCACTTCCAACAACTCTATGATCTTATTCCTCACAGTATCCGCAGCATTGTCGATGATAAGCTGAAGAGTCTGTCGGCAACGATCGGCCTCGTTTTGGGTTTTAACTTCTCCTAGAGCTTTTATGATATTTTGCAATCCCAGATCATTGGCTAACGGTGCTATCGACGTTCTGATGTAATCGATATTGTTAATGGCGAAGCACCAAGCTGTCGATATTGTGAATTTTTTCTCGTAAACGCTGCTCTGCGAAAGTTGCTCTAGTTCTGTCGTTATTTCCGCTTTTACCGCCATCTTGTCGGCGTACGCGATGGAACACTTACAAATGTCCTGCAAAGTAATCTTATTGTAAATTGCATAAAAGATGAGAGTTGCAAAGTTTTACATATCGGCATCGATTTATCGCAACAATGGCAACAATGATCAACAATATTATAGAAAGATCCCGAAACTCACGTCAATAATTTTTGCTATAAAAGTGTAGGATCCTTCAACGTCGGGCCAAGCTAATTGCGTCCAAAACACTTTGATCTGGTAGAAAATGGTTAACGTATCTACAGCGCTCGAGCTGTATTGCACGCTACTGTCAACCGCTTGCAAGGTATCGAATTCAACAGCCCTGTCGATGCGTTTGAGCGCTTTGTATACCGCAATGTCCAACCAGTGCCCGACACCGCCTCGGAACCAGTCGTAGTAATTTTGTATCTTCATGTCCTGTAGCTGCCCTTCGGCACAAAGTACCTGACCGACGCTATAAATCAGGTAGTTTGAATGTTAGACACGAGTCGCTCGAAGCTGCATCAATATTCTGGCTCTCACTGGAATTGTAACTCACATTGCGTATCTTTGAAGCGCAAGGTAAAGCTCAAACAATGTTGTGCCCAAGCCTAATTCCGCATCAGCGTTGCTATCGATTTCGATCCGCTTCAGTCTGCTGCACACATCTTCTATGATGATCGTGCACATGTCGCTGATTCTCTTTTCGTACGCGATATATAGCAATCTTGCGTACGGAACATTGACTTTCCTAATTTAATAATAACATTAAATATATTACTGAATATACATATATACACTACTCGAAACAATTAGGGGAGCGCTTTAAAACTCGTAGATTTTGATGGTTTTTAAGAAGCCATATTTCAGCTTGGGGAGGTCGTAGAACAATGTTCGAGGGCGCATTTTAACGGGTGAAGCCTCGACTTTAAAGAGGAGGCTAAGGTTTCATTATTCGTCTCATCGAACTGTTTCTCTTGCGAGGCTCAGACCGAGCAACCTCCCCGTAGTGCACATCGGATAATCGGTGAATGCCGGCGGTGTTGCTAAAAATCTTGCAAAATGCAGGGGTGACTTTGAAATGCGATAACTCGGCTCCGAGGTATGATGGAACAATGCTCCTTGCGGCGTTTTAAAGGGGAAGTCTCCCACTTCAAAGCGAGAGTAGAGCCATTTTTATTTCCATCCCTGCTTTATTCGTGTATGGCTACAAAGTCATGAAGTTTTCACAATTTTTTCACGACCTGATTTTAGGTCTCACAAGAAAAACAGTTCGATGAGACGAATAATGAAACCTTAGCCTTTTAAAAATCGAAGCTTCACCCGTTAAAATGAGCCCTGGAACATTGTTCTACGACTTCCCCAAGCTGAAATATGGCTTCTTAAAAACCATCAAATTTTGCAAGTTTTAAAGCGCTCCCCTAGTTGTTTTGAGTAGTACATATATATATATATATATATATAGGGCGTTCCATTTTAAAAATAGAGAGAAACGTCTCAGGCAAAAGTTATTTGATTTGAAGGGGGACATAAAACAGCGATATCATTTTGTTTACAGATGACGCCGTTTTCGAGATATTCACTGAGCATCGCTTTTCTTAAATGGAAACCTAAATTTTTTATTAGATTATCTTTTCCTACCAATTAATTCGAACAACCTTTGTCTGAAATATTTTTTATTTGCCCAATACTTTTTGAGATATTTGCCAGCGGCAATTGAAATGGGACACCTTTATCAAGTATATTATCAAGAGAGATCAACTTACTTTATAAATAGTTTGTCATAATTATCCATGGCCTTTTGTAAATCAGCTCTAACAAGCTGTATCACTTTATGATGATACCTAAGCGCGTCTTCGTCCGACTCAGATTCAGGTGAATTATTGTTTAGTATGTGTTCGAACCTTCAACATATATCAAGACGGACATATCAAGATAAACCGAAGCATTCAAGACGTATTAAATTCACAAGTTTCTCCTCGCTTACCATTCGGCGCAGCCTTGCGTAATCGTACATTCCAAACTTTGAAGTACGTCTATCTTCGAACCGTTAGGTTCTGGGAACCAAGAGTACATCTTGGCCGGAAAGAGGTCAACGTCCTCAGGAACTTTCAGAGAAGATATGGATGATAATATCCTGAGATATAAAATATAATGGCAGCATTAATAAAACCGCATCGATTGTGAATTCTGCGCTTTAAGGTTATCGAAATGGCAATATTGTGAAAAATTACCCTAAAATAGCGGATAACTGTGTCATGGCGTTCTTGTCTCCCAAGATCAGTCTTCGAATTTTCCGCACGCTATTTAGACATGAATACAGAACTTTTTTGGTGGCATCCCAGAAGAGTCTGATTTCGTCAGCGGAGAACAGTCCGCTGTCCATCGGCCTGAGCAAGTCGATCACGAGCTTGTTAAAAACCATAAAACTTAGCGGATGTTCCTGATGAATTCTGGCATATTCGACCCATTGCGCCAGAGCGAGATTTCTGGCTAACAGGCCGCGTTGTGCGCTGTGTTGAAGAATGAGAGCCTCGGCTGGTCCCGACCAACGACCGCACCAACAGTACTTCTCGATCTTCTCCGTCTCAATTTCATGAAGTAGCAGCACTCTCAGCAGATGCCGGTGTTCCTGTGCAGCCACTTGCGCATTATGCTCCGCACTGAAGGCCAGTCGAAGCTTGACGACGCCTCGGCGTTTGGTCTTGTTCTTCTTCTCGAGAGCGTACCACATAGTATGCCCTGTCGTCGGTATATCCTGAAAATAAATGATTACAATGTAAAAATCTATTCCATGGAAATCGCAAATATATTTCAAGTATTTCCCCAAATTTAAATATCATAACTGATATTTTACCTTCAATGGTATCCTACATTTACCAATGAATTCATTGTTGTGACTACCGGTCGTAGCTGTTACTGCGATTTCTTTGGCTAATTTGACCAAGCCACGAACACCCTTTACGTCCTTGACTTTGCTCATTTTTTCAGGAACAGTTTCAGCAGCGTCGAAATCCCTGACAGCGTAAAATAGGTTGCGTCAGTTATCGTCAAGTAATACATTATAATGTACACGCTAAATATATGTCACTTACCACACCTCAAGGCACAGGACGTCATTTTCAGGATCTTCCAAAGGCCTGAATAATAAATAAAGAAATACATAAGGAGATGAAGGAATCACGAAGCTCATATAACGTTCTTGAAAACTTTAGAACAGCTGCAAAAGTCAGCGTGAGTTTAACGATAACGCTACATATTAAGATTACGATAATAAACTTTAGCTCTTTCGCAAATACGAAGAGAAAAGTTTCACTCACAATTCAAAGTGCTCCTCCCATATTGGACTGAGAGTGCACGTTTTCACTGCCGTGTTGTACCTTCTGGTCGGTGCCGATTCCAAATAAAGAGCGCAAAAAGGATCACTTTTACCGTTCGAGTCTTTGGAAACTAACTCTTTGGCTTCGATCACTTCGATGTTGAGGCGCAATTCTGGCGGCTAGACGTGAACAACAAATCGCTTTTAGACGCATATATACGATAAAGTGATGCCAGTTAATGATGCTCCAAAAGTTATTACAGAGTTAGTTACCTCGAGATTTCGAGTTTCCTCCAACACTCTCTCGTGCGTCTCGTCGTCGACTTTGAAAGCACTTTGCAGATGATTCAGAAGAGTTTCTTGACTACACTCGTTGGACACATCGAAGCCAATTTGATGTTGGGCCATACGCACCAGAGCGGTGTAAAGTTCTTCGATCTATAAATAATACATATCAAGCGTAACATTAATTGCACAACTTTGCCGAAAGTATACGTGCACAACAACACGATACTTTTTATCAATTGATAATTGACATTAATGACCGGTTAATATTTTGTGTATGTCGGGTTACTGAACACTAAATGCTTTTAATTGGCATATTTGCTGATCACTTGCACGATACAACCGGCGCGACATAATAATACAACTTGTCAACAATACGACGCGGTACTGTTGCCTTTTCTTTTGTTAAAAGCGTCGAAAAAATTGTCGAGTCGGCGTGCAAAGTCTTTAGTCTGAATATTCGAGGGTGTTTCATCCAGATTGTACACAAATAAGATGTACCTCCGACTCTGAATTTTGAGAGAGCTCACAGAAAAGAAATTAATAAATTAATAAGCTAAAAGATGTTACCAAAGAAATACAAGATAGCGAGTGCTGATGAACGAAATAAATAGAAGCGAGAAAATAGGAGCATGAAAATTTGAAACAGACTAACCGAATTTTCCGTAGAAATGGCAATACTTGCATCAGCTGTGAATCACACGACGACTTGTCAATTACTATTTTTTTACATATTCTCCACGTACTAATCGCGCGCGTGATTGCGATCGTCCGGGATGATCGCCGACCGAACTCACCGTCATGGCTTGAAGGAGCGCAATGTTCCTACGTTCAATTTCAGCTTTCGGAATCCCGCAAAACGTATTCCTCATTCGATTGAGGGTGGCCGCCCCTATGGACGGATTTGTGCTCACCATGTTTAATCTCATACAGTTTTCATACACGGTGTCATTCGCTCCCGAATCCGAGCAACGCTTGCGAACGTCGCGGCAGATCGTCGCGCAGTCACGACGCCGCGCACATTTGGAATTTTCCGATTTTTCTACAGTTTCCTCGCGACACGCGTTATTCACGTTCGACACACTTTTCATCACACATCCCAATTAAAGCGCAATTGCTCTTCCTAGCACGCGACACTCTTGGGCACTTTTCTCAAGTGTTCCGTCTCGGGCAGTCCCAACGACGATGACGGACAATAGATCTAGAGAAGAGGAATCTAGAGCGGTATGACAATGACCCGCGGAGAGAAGACAGAAGATCGTGTTGTTAACAACGAACAATGACGTTCACGCACCAGCAGTCCCGCGGTCTTAAGCAGACGTCGAACTTGTTCGCGCCATCACCTTCGGTCCTCGCCTGAGGACAAAGAATCACGCGGATGACTTTGACGGATTTACTCTTGATGGACAACAGTTGAGATCACTGCGTTTGCAGGAGATTATTTTTCGAAAGCGTTTTACACTCTACCGATGACACCGGCGCGGCGGCGAGACGGAACGAGGGATAGAAAGAGAAGAAGAGAGGGACTCGCGATTCGCCGCGCATGCGATCGGCGAATTTCATCGCTGCATAAACGAACTTTGTCAACCGACGATGAACTCCTACGATGGCCACGACCTTTCTTATCGACTCGTCGCATTTCGATAGCGTTAATGCATAATCAGCAGCCGTCGATCGCGCATAAATCGTAACTCGCTGAATTTATTCCTATCAGTGATGACATAAGCGTGCAGTTTTCATTATCAAATCAGAATAAAACCGTGGTCATTAGCAAAGCGTATATTGTAATATTGTAATAGACATGATTTTATTTATATATATATATATATATATATATATATAGCTCGCGCGCAGAATATAAAATTTTGTTTATCCGCGAACACACACTCGTGTCGAGCGTGTTGAAATAAGTTGGAATTGATTAGCGACATATTGTCAATATATTTTACTGAAATCATTGACGTAACTGTTTTCTCTTTTTATATTTGGCGTATTCGGTTGCGCGCGCAACGGAAGGTCTTTTTAATTTATAATGAAGGTTAGGAAGTCAACGATTATGCACGTGTGTGATAAGACGAGAATTAGGACACAACCTTTAGTATCATGCCCACTGGCAAATAGAGTTGGCAAGCGCAATTGACTCTGACAGTGAGATTCAGTTTGTATTACATTTCATGGTTTGAACCAATGCCGTTGGTTGGTGCATCGTGTTTCCTCGAGCACGAGCAAAACGCACAGATATTACGAAACGTTCAACATGTGCTAACAACAGTTCTGCGCTACTTTCCACTACGTCGCAAATCTCCTCTGCGGTGGTAGTTTTTTTTTTCTTTTTCCTTTTTCTGCGGCACGAGATGCAAACTGCGTGCGTTATAATTAATTGTTGGAAAAAGCGTGGAAACCAGCGGCGAATCTGGACAGGAGGAGAATTGTGTTATATCCCGTTTAGAGTGACCCACGAGGCAAGTGCAACCACAATGCGTTCATACGTTCGTACAATTGTGTCCAATGAAAGTTGATATACCGGCAATTAGCTCATTGGCCACCAAGGCGCATCGAGACACCCGTTGTATGATAAGCGGGACGTGTGAATGTATGAACACGTTTTCGTCCTTCGTGTCTCCCGCGTTCCCGTCTAATTTTCGTAGGAATTATGCAATTCCGAGCCGGTCCAACTCTACGCCTACTCTAATACCGATTCTATTTTTCGACGAGGATGAGTCCGTTTATTAAGAAATACGCCGATTATTTGGTGTAGCGCTACGTCATCGCGATCACCTCTTCTTGCCGTGTCAATGTGGCTGTACGATTTATAGCGTGTCATGATTTATAAAGTCTTCACAGATGTACAGATGGGCAGATGCGTTACGAAGATTTATTCGGCATCTGACGAGGAATGTAATACCAACATCTAAGACTTAATTACCGACAAAGGATTAAGTAGTCTTAATAGCCAAAGACTATATATAAGATGCATGAGAGCATAAATGTTTATACACGTTATATAATAACGCGTACGCGATAAAATTGCTCCTAAGGAGATGGAGGACTCATAAATATTATATGCACGACTTTAATAATTATTTCAATTGTACGTAGTACAATCGGTACAATTGCTACGAGTTGAAGCGGTATTTATATTTAGTTCGGCTGTGGCCGTCGAAAGTGCGTGACATTACCATTCGTGACGATTCGATACGTTTTTAAACTACGTCTCTGACAATTTGCCAGTTTTTCGAGAAGCTATTGGACGAGACAGAAGAAAACGACGAAACCCAGTTTTCCAAGTAGCGACTTATTTTTATAATTTAGCAAATACCGCAAGCCCAAATTAAGTTGTGCAAATTTTCAGAAAATTACGTCCTCGGATTACGAGTATTCTATATATATATATAATTTAATGTATGAATTATATATGTACGGTTACATCAAATCAACATTGTTCGATTATTTCTTTTATTTTTCGCACATATGTACTTGCAGCTTTTGTCAAATTGTCCCAGTTTTGTGTTACAAATTAATTCTAATCTTTTTATTTGAGATACTGACGTTGATTATTCGTAATGTTAAGATAAACTGCATTCATTGCTGTGTAAAATATTATTATAACGAAGAAATGCTAGGAATTTTTTGTCGACAGGATTAATTCAGTCGTGTTTGTAACCTTTGCATTTGCTAGCAATTCACATTCACAATAATCACAGGATCACAACACTCAACAAGTCCAACTCTATTTCATCAAAGTGTGCTCGATGTACACATTCCTCGCGAAGGTCCGAATTCACCGAACATCTCATGCATTGAGACCAAACATTTCAAACGTCGACGAGAAGTGTTTGCAATTCTTCACTGATCAACAGAACGATTCATTAATCGTACAGGGAGATATGCGAAGAAATGCACCGCGTTTTATCGTTTCGGAAACCACCTGCAACTCGCAAGTAGGTTGCAAGGATATCTAATTGAAGAACAATTAACGACGAAACTAGAGAAAATGGATCAGGATAACCAGCGCAAGACAGCAAGACAGGAGCTTGACGGAGGCGAGCACTATACTGCCAGGAATAGATGGACCGACGGATCAGAGTCGTCGTACGTCGACTAGATGACTTCGTGGTGGTGTTACGTTGTACATTTGCTAACGCACGAACACGTGGATCTCATTTCAGATTGAGTTTAACTGCTCGATTGAGCGTAGAGTATAACACCCCGGCGTACGAAGGGTGTACGCACGGGTGATATAATTATACCGTATTGTCCATGTTTCAGATGGGCAAACTGTGATCGTACACCACACGTGAATCATCACGCGGCGCAAGGACTTCAAAGTGAAATCGTCTCATGAGCGTAAATCTCGATCTCTTTTGTAATTTATTGGAGCCGCATTTGCTTCGTTTCGTTAACCGCTCACGGTAACACACGTTAATTTTACAAAAGCAGTTACAAAGCATGAAACAAAGTTTATTTCCGGCCGTTGAATTCTGGGATCTTACATCCCTCTTGATTTTTTCATTAAAATATTTATCTCGCTGACGTAAAATCTATATCGCGCGATTGTTTACTACGTTTTAATGCGATGACGATCATCCTAAGTCAAAGTTCAGCTTTAAACTTCTTTGAATGAACGGCTGATTCTCGAGTCAATAAAAATCTATTGGGACACTTTATCGAGCAGAAGATTACACGTGGAATAAATTATGAAAAGAGATGAAGGAACATATTGATCGCGGTGTAATAATAAGTTTCTCGCAAGCAAATTGTTGATGAGATTTATGGATTATGAATAACGAATTACTGTGCAATATTTGTGTGCAAATCGAATATAATACGTGTGTGCTTGATCAATATACGGACTTACAACAGAATATCGTGCAAGTGACTTGACGTGCCAGCAAAATGCTCAACCAATTCCACAATCAATCGTAGACTTACGCATTTTTCTTCGGTTTTAGAAAAAAGTGGTTCGTCAAATCTGATCAACCGCATTATTTCATATTGAAAGAAACAATCACAATGATGAGATTAAAATCGTCGAAAGTAATCATGGCAGTGTTTCGAGTGTTCGAGGCAACGCAGGGAGACGTCTAACTTCGACTACCCTTCGCACCGGCCTGAGACCTTTGGGAAAATCAATATCACTGCCGTTACCATCGCGTAGCAGACAACATGCGACAACATATAGAAAATATGAGGTTTCGATCCAATGAGTCAGGGGAGCATAAATGATAAACATTCATCATAACTGCACGAGGATCATTATCATATTTTAACGGCCGGAAATAAACTTTGTTTCATGCATAACTAAGCTTTTGTAAATCAATCATCTCACTCATATATTCATGGATTTGATAGAGCAACAATCATCGTCGCCTCTAAAATTGATAACTTTGTCAGATTTTCATTTCTAAAAGGATTGTTTTGTTATAACCTTTCTTACTGGTTAATAATAACAAATAATTTCTGTCCGATCTTTTCGCCCGCGTTTGCATGTCTTACAAATATAAATTGTGTCGATACAAGTCGGTGAGATAAATTTCTCCGTAATTTCGCTCTAAGAGAGTTGATGCAATTATCAAGCGCAAGCAGTCTCCCATGTCGGCGTGTCTGTTTCAAATTACGCGCGGTGTAAGTAAGACGCGTTATTTAAGGTTCTTCCGAATTGTACACGGCTATTTCGATCTTGAACAGACCACTTCTTATCTATCTATTGACGTAGGCGCAAGATGCGGTATGAAACTACTCGAGGTATATTTTCAGACAACACTCTGCATACTGTTAACGCGTGAGAATTCATTCTCTCGTCGTAAATATGTCAAACTATGCGATGAAACAAACCGTACTGAACTAAAAGTCTCAGCACGAAGTGGGATAACATCGTTTGTCGAAAAGAAAAAAAAAAAAAAAGAGAACAAACATTTCCATCAAGATTATAAGACTGGTTACGCATTCGAAATATAGAATTATGGTGATAATAATTTAGAATGATGACGCTGTAAAAATTCAATACTCACGTTTAAGCCCATCGAATCGGCCACGAAATTTCGGGCGTGCTCATTTTCATCTCTGTCGCTGTCGGTTTCCATCAAGGCTTCGGTTGGCTCGTCGATGCTGTCTTCCTCGCTCAAGGTGTCTTCCTCTTCTTGCGTTTCATCCCTCTTTTTAGGGAGCGGGCCCTCTGCCTGCTCTTGTGCGCGAACTCTTTCTGCCAGTAGAGTGCCGAGATTCTCGAAGAAACCGCCATCTGATTCTTGTATCCTAAAAACATATATTACTTTAGATTACCAATGGATCTTTTTTAATGAAACTTTCAAACATTTCTTTTAACATCTACCATAAAATTCTGCATTTCATGAACATTTTATACAAAAAAAGAAATTCCTTTATATCCTTTATATCGAGTTTTAAGGTACCTTATCTTATCTTATCTTATCTTATCTTATCCTATTATTATATCTTTTAAGTGCAATGAAATGAATTTAAAAGAAACGAACGAAAATACATACACTGCTATACTTAAAACTAAATATTCGTCCAGTGTGTTTTAACAAAATGTCTATGCAATATTCTATTACTATACAGTGCGCAATTTAATTAAAAGCTAAATATATAAAGCGTGCATACGTATTGCATAATAGGCCTACAACATAGGTGTAACATGGTATTACTACTCGTACAAAATGAAGCTCGTACAAGATAAATCAGGTACATGCATACGCTCACGAAATACATTTTTTTCACCTTTTATTAATAAAATTGAATGCAGCAAATTTCCAATAAGCTCTCCCTACGGTCATTTCTATCTCCTCAGGCTTTTGTGACATTCGTACAGCGGCTATTAGATAGTATGGATGCTTCTCGTCCAGTTTTTCGAAGTGTGCCATTTCGTTTTTAGTCCTTCAGCAAAAACACAAGACGTCTTTGCGTAAAAAATTACGCGAAAGAAACCACGCGGCGTAGTCGAGCGAAATATTCTCGTCGCTTACTGCTATCCCCGATTTTTATTTTTAACCACCATTTGAGCTTTAAGCTTTGCTAAATTCCACTTTTGAAGGTAATGTGAGTATAGATTCACATAACTCGTCATTTTAGAAGCTTGTTTGGAACATATTTAGAAATCAAGCGAAGGAGGAAAAATAAGATCAAGCTACATATAAAATTAAAATTAATACAAGCCACGTAGACAAGAGCAATGTTTCAAATTCGAAAACGTAATAATATGATAAAAACTCAAATATATCCTTTGTATGGATGTACGCACTATTCAACTGCACTTTGATAATAAACCTCTGTTGCGATGCACAATGATGACAGCAAATATCACTCCGAGTGAAAGTCTTCATGCAATTTGACGTTCAGGAATCAGTTTGAATGGCTGTAGCTCGACAACGCGTCTCACGTGGGCTCACGTACATTCTCAACAGACTAGCTCGTTTTCTCGAAATCACCAAGTTCTCTTTCGACCTATATGTTCTTCTTTCGTCAGCTTCGTACACACTGATTGTCTCAGTTTTAGAATACGGTCATATAAACCGGAACTTAATTGCTTTCCTCTTACGCAGACGGAATCCTACACGCGTGGTGAGTTGCCTGAAATTCCCACGATCGCGAGATATGCGGTCTTGCGTTCGTTACGTATTACGTCCGCGAAATTAGATTGGCTCGCGTCAAGCCTCAAGTTGTGGTTTTCGATGCTGATAACACACCAACAGGCTGGTCTCCGTCTCTTTGCAAACTGGGTAAGGACTCGGCTAGGTGACAGGTAGAAGACTGGCAAGGTAGGAGGTACCAGGACGTATTCGCAACCCGTTACACCAATAATATCCATAGGCGTAAGTAGGATTTTTTGTTGAACATTTATGACGAACGCTTCGAGTGAGTCTCTTGCTGCGTAAAACTCTAGTTCGCTTTTATCTTATTAAATTGAGTCGAGGAAAATATAAAAAATCGTAGGATGATCAATCGAGTTTAAGAAAAGAACTGATCTTAGACCAGTTACCAAATTTGCACCTTTAATTTTGCACTTTATTACTGCAATGAATCGACGGTTTGCGTGTACATATAATTTGGCCAATTATGGATAATTGATCTTGTGGGAAGGAGATTTCTGAGGTAGTTAAAGCAGGTGGAATTCTAACGATTCTGCAATTATAATAACAACGAGAATCTTGAGGGAGAAGTTGGATCGAACACGGTTATTTTTTTCCTTTTGCGCAACATCTAGCAGTAGAATGTCTTATAAATCTTGTAAATGCGAAACTTTTCAGTTCGTAATGTTTGTGTCTCCAACAAATTTGGTGCCTGCTGCTTATACAATACTTTTCTTATCTGGCAACAATTTACAGATGTATTATTCCGACGCCTGTAATAGTCTCCTTTGAAAATTACGAGCTATATCAGATGAGCAAGTAAATTTTACGACCAGATGATAAGCACAAATTAATTTACAATGTGTATTGAAGCACGATGAATAAACTCGAGATGTGAGATCCTTATTTTTCTGTTTGCTGATTATCTGATTACCTATTTCAAGAACCGGTTTACGTATTCGCACCTGAGAGCAGCTCTCTGACTCATTCTGCTTCCGGTCATTCATCACGATCGACAATAATTGTGATCAAACGTGCAAAATAAAGAAATACAGAAAGAGAGAGACGGTTAATCGAATCAATCAATTCTTGACTAACGACGGCAGTAATTAAGTACAATTTACTAGCCGGACTTTTGTTTAAACTTGCGAACTTGTAGGGAGTTCGCGGAGAATAAGACACGTTCTCGAATTACGGAAGCAAAAGGAGGAGGAGCGCAGAGGAGGTATGCTCGCCGACTTGCGTCACTGATGCGTTCCTTTTTTCCTAGACGATGCCATCGAGTTTTTCCGAGTCTCTTTTATTCTTGACTCAACAGAGAAGTGATTCACGGTATCGCGTGCCATTCGAGCACTCTGCAGTCGATAGTCGTGCGAAAAATGTACACGTATTCGCGTCTTGCTTTACTCTTTTTCGCCATCTACTTTTAACTACTTACGATGTGCCTTGTTATATGATTTGGCTGCGTCTTCAGCCCGATCTTTTGCGCAATCTACAACATATGAAGCTGGAGTGTTGTTTCGCAAGTAATAACCACAAGGTCTATTGTGATATAAGTCGTAGGAGACCTTCAATAGACGGTCTCAAAACATCCTGAAGCGTCCGTACTTTCAATTTTTAATTTATCAGCGAGATGTGCGCAAATCTGTGACGCAAATGCGTTCCAGATGTTGTTTCACCAATAAACAATAATTGCGAATTAAATATGGCGAAGCTTTCAAATTAGCCTTAATATATCGCGAGTAAATGAAACGTCGACTTCTAGAATGAAGTTAAAAATTTACGTTTACTCCCATGCGCGTTAATCATTCGTAACAACGCGCAATTATGTAATCTGCGCCATTAGAGTGTGCAAAATATCTTCGAGCTCGAGAGGAGCTCCCGTTGCTTCGGCTTCGCAAGTATCGTAGATCATTATGCTAATTCATTCCCCAAATATTGGCGACTGTTCGATGAATATACACTTGTGTCCGCGACACTTGTGACTCCGGGGATCTTTATTCCGACAATACTACAAAGAGCTAATTAATGTCGCGAGATCGATGATTATGCCGTGGGACGTTCACCTAAAATGATGATCTAAGCCGCCGTTCCCCTTCTTCCTTCGTCACACTTCGTTTTTCCTCCAACGAGGAAAACTTAAAAAGACCAGAAGGGATTTCCTCGTGCGCTCCAATGAGTGACGCACGTTCTAATTTCCCGGTGTATCGTTAAATCGTGGGAGACCACAGAGAAGGCAGCATGATGAGATGGCAATAATATAAATAGCCGCGAGATAATTAGTTTTAATAAGTATTTGTTCTCTGTTTTGGGATATATAAGTAATTCATATCCTTTCCAGCAGCAATTCCTACATATGTTATGCATCGTGACGTAATTAAGAGAATAGTTTAAAATGCTCCCATTAATTTATGTTGATACAATTAACAATTTGCATCTGACGATATTTTGTCACGAATTCGTGACGGTTTCGTGTCTCGTATGCTAACGACGACTGCGCTTAATTATCTCTCACAAAGACGTCGTGAGATGCTTGTGAATCATGTAGCATCGTGCCGACCTTGAGCCCCAGATCTCAGCATATACGTATAGTATATATACATATAGTTTTACATACGCATCACGTATATAGCACGGACTTAGTCGCGACGTGTAGTCCCACCTCCGAACCGCATCACGTTGGTCTCATTCTATTAATAGATCCTACACGAGCGCTCAGCAACGTAGAGAATTTAATTTAATGTTTTGCCAATTTGTTATGGACACACATGAGCTCTTTGTCTCGGAGCGTTATCATCGATCGCGAAAATATGAACGTGCGTACAGAGCTCAACGTTATCGACCCCTCAGTTTCGTATCAAAAATAGATCGTTTTACCATGCTGCATATGTGTGTGTGTGTGTGTGTGCGCGCAAGTTTATTGCACTTTCTCTAGATAACATTGTTATTGACAATCCGAGCTATCGCTTTTCTCACAACACATACATATGTATAATTAACGCATGGAATTTTCCTTCTTTTCTAGAATTATAATTCCAGTACGCATATTGTTAATATTGTTGCAACAAGCCGCAAGTAAGTTGCATTAGCACATTTTTAGTCATTTATTATTTGAGAGGCTTCAAGTTTCTTTCGATATTTGCTACATCCAAGGCGGTTTAAAGCTTCCATACATTTAACATCATAATTGTTACCATACCCAAAATTATATATTTAAAGTTGGATATTGTTATAGATAAGTATACTAATAATTAATCGCAAATATCGTTCAGTATTTTATGTCGAATTATAAAGTGTGGAGCTCCCAGAAATCGATGTGACGGAACGATGTGATGTTGACATTCCTTTACCTTGTCTCGTGCTCCGATTTTTCTTGCTGTTCCTTCTCTTTCGCTTGCCTCTCTTCCATAATTTTCTCATAAAAGCCTTTCCACATAGCTTCTTCATCCATCTTCGCACCTGAATCCCTTCAATCTCACCGGTAATAAATCAAGGAGCACTTCACCTGGTGATCTGGTATTTTGCGGAACGCGTACCGTTATCCTGTACACGTGACTATTGAACGGTTAACGGTGTGACACTCGCATAGAATTGTGTATATATTAGCCGCGCACTCGGAGAAATATTCCTCGCTTGTTACTGAACTGGCGTGCTAAAGGAATTTAAGTGCGTTTCGCAACGAAATAATGCCGGCTGGAGCTAAGGTCGATGTAGGTGCGACTAGTAAGCGTTCCACATACTTGCGAGTGGAAGATTCAACATCCGCAAATACTTTGTGACCTGCCGGTAGATGGCATCTAACATCAGGCCTCCTCTCTCCTTTTCTTTACCTACTGCGCATATCTTACAAAGCTTGATAAATTTAAATAATATTAATATATACTACAACGTTCTCTTTTGTTTCTAAATTTGCTTCATTTCTCGGGAAATATAATAATTTTCATTAAAACTAGCAATTTTCTGTAGAATTTTTGTTATGTATTTTTGTTATGTTGATAATCACGGCAATAAATCTAAAATTACTTACAGGATACATCTGATTAACTATGTTAAATTTTTACTTTGCGATTTAATCGATTCTGTGCTTTATTCCTAATTTTATATCTGAGATACGGTAAAAAATGAAAGAATAAATTAGGATGAGAGTTGAGGATTTATGCGTTAGCGTGCAGAAGAGATACTCTGCTCGGTCCATTTAATTCGTAATTTATCTCGCATAGTCGTGATGTGAGATAATTAAACATAGTCACTCGTGTATCACAAAGTGCACAGATGTGTGAGTGACTCATCTTAGTGGATTTTATTATGTCACCTCGATGATATCATCTGTTATGCATATGATCACTTTGTTAACCATACGTGAGATCGTTAGCACGGAATCACCAATGCAAAAATTCTGCAACACGTCAAATAAACAATATGTACATTCTACATCGTGTTGTGTGTCATAATTTCGTTTCGAATCGAATTTTGTTGCGAAAAGTTTGTTTTGACTTTCTCTCTCGAGACGTAAATCAAATTATTTGTATGACAAATATTTTTTTCTCTCATGAAAATCAACAATTGTCGATACGACACTGACACTGACACAATGATGTATTCTCGATGCGCAGCTAACACATATTATAGAAGATATAACGATCTTAAGGGATACATCTATAATCTCACTTCTATCATCGATGACAAAAGCAAACAGCATCGACAGTCGATACGAATATCAATTCTACTTGGTCATTATGCGATCAAATTTTATCAGAGACACTATGTATACAATAACGCAGACGCACTACATTGTTAATTTTAGACCAGTACCTCGATGGAATTGATTCCTGGCAAGCTGCTGTCGAGACTGGCGTCGCGATCGTTGCATTGCTCGAACGCAGGCGCCGCGTCGATAGCAGTTCTGCTCGATACTATACCATGCATCACTGCGAATGTGTGTTCCGGCGAGGCGAAACATCAATAATATTTTTGTCGCGTCGTAACATACAAATGTTACTTCGTTCCCAATTGTCTCTGCGTCGAGTAATTCTTGTTCTTTCTTCTTCTCAGCGACAGTAAATAATAATTATTGCTTCGTAATTCTCAAGATAAATTCTACGCTCTCCCTGTCGGCCTGCTGTCACGTTTACGAGATAATATTAACGTCCGCTCGAACGTACACATAAATTTCCCACCTCTCGCGATGTGTGCGAATTGCGAGATAAGTCCAACTAAATTGAAAAGAAATATTTCGCCGTTGTCCCGGGTATAAAATGCGCGACTTACGCCTGGAATCTGTATAAGAATGAGCCAGTTATCTGCAATGCACAGTCAGCTCAATTTACAACATGGGCTGTAAATTGATTACGTTGCTTCTATGCTTCGGTAAGCGAGACACGAGAAATACACCATTTAACTATGCACACTCGACGACAATCAAATTCATTATCAATAATTGCTTTCTTTTCTATTCATCTTCGCTATAGAAGTCATTGTACTTTGCGTGGCGAAGGCGGATTTTATTTATCAAAACAAGACACTATTTATGCGAACACCTCGACAGAATAAATCGGCCGCTGAGACTTTCGTCATACTGAGTCCGAAGCAGATTCAGCGTATGGAAGCTACGATAAAGAATTTTCTGACGAGATTAATCGGACCGAGCGCTCGGCCGATAACGCTGAGATTGTCTGATGGAGATGGTTTGCGAAAGGCAATAAGTGATATCTGTGAAATTATACGGGCAGAAATTATGGAGTTTTCGCGAGCCTCTGGACCAGTCGCATCGATTCGTCAGCGCGAGAAGATATCGTGGAACTCTACAATCTCGGAAGATTGGTTTTCCGAGGGTCTGCTGCAGGGTTCGCTTCTATTATGTGATCTTGTCAGGGTAGGAGAGAGGATCTGGTTTACGATCAATCATTGTCTTGACAGGAATAACGCGACCTCACAGAAGAACGAGGTGAGTTTGTGAATGTTGAAGGATAGGGCAGGTAATCGAGACACACTTGAGCGATTCTCTCTCTCTCTCTCTCTCTCGTAATCTAACAAAATATTACACCTAATAAGATTCATTTCAGGAATTCTTACCACGCAAGACAAAAAACGGCTTCAAGTTTCTGAGCGTTGTGAATGACGCATTCAGCTTCAATGAGAAATTATTCAAATGTTTATTGCCGGTAACAGACGGAGGGAAGCGAGCGTCATCATTCGATCTTAATCGAGCCTTTGCAAATTTAGCGAAAGGTCCGCCGGAGAATACAATGACGACACTCAAGACTGGCCTTGAACGAGCTTCCACTCTTTATGCATCAAGTAATGACACGTCTGGTAAACAGTTGCACGCACTGCTTTGTCATTTACTAGCCGAAAGGGCCAACGATTACGGCGATTGCGTGAAGGAAGTGCAACGTGTTGAAGTCTGCGTGTCGTCAACGGGACGAGGCTCGACTGAAGCCGATCATACGCTTCCCGCCAAACCATGGTTGACTGCCATCGAGGACATAAGTAGCTGCAAGATTTATATCGATGCGGAACGCAGTGCGAGCGTCCGCTGCAATTTCGATCGAAAAGTGCCGCGGATGACGATGCGGAGAGTGAAGTATATTTACGAGAGCATTCTCGACCGCCGAATATCTCGACGGTCACCTCTTTATCATGCCGCAAACGAACTCGGAAATGTGCTCTCTAAAAGTAGTTGGGGAAGACAATTAGCGTACGACGTGTGTCAATATTTGGAGATCTATCGAGAAGGTCGTGAGAAATTGCGTGCAATTTCGAGGCAAGCTGTTAAAGATAAGAAAGCGGCCATTAGGTAAGATTAATTCACAGCATGCCACACGAGAAGTACGAAGATGCTAATAGCGCTCGATGCGAACTGAACGAACTGAACGAACGCGATCCGAACAGGTCTAAGCCGCTTAGGCAGCGGCTCGACTAATTTATCTGCAAACGTTATCGTAGAAGTACATTTGACCTCTTGTACACTTGAGAGAGCTTACTACACATTTAACGAAATATATGATAACAAAAGCAATTACGTAAACTGAATTGTCTAATCTCATAACGTATTGAAAAAATTTTCCGTTACAAAAATTTTTTTAGTCGATTACTTTCTTCTTTAGGCTGGTAATCTATAAATTAATATAAAGACACGTATCTATATTTTTAGATACAAGAAGGTATACGATTCACTAAATTTATATAAAAACGGTGCATTGAAGGAAACTATGCTTGCTGTTGGTAACTTTCACCGTTCCACCTTCGAGATGGAGAAATTCCTTATTCGTGGTATCGAAAATTCTTTTCGAGGAATTTTCGGATGGCCAAACATACTACTGCTAGGCAGATTGATTGACACGATAATTCAAATCGTGGGATTTGTACGTATGATGTTAAATGATACGGACGCCAAATTGCCGATTTCTACCAACTTTCCGCTAATTAACGTGATAGATTCAGCCAGCACAACGACGAATGATTTCTACAACAGAAAGATGATACATCTTGTAAAAATAAGTCGTCAGAAATATCTTATTAGTTAGTATTTATTTTAATTATTACATGCAAGATACTTTTTTATATTAATCATAAGACATTTAAGCATTAATTGTTTCAAACTTACGGAAGAAATATGTTCTGAAGTTGAACGTTAAGATAAATCTGACAAATAACATTTCTCGTTTACCTTGAAGATGGAACTGACTTTAAATTCGCAGAATTCACGAAAGAATTAATTAACAATTCATAGGATCTGCATTTCTAATTATATTATTACAGATATAAACAAAGAGACCGATACCGCGCTTGAGAAATTAATACAATCGATGAATCACGTAAGCAGAATACGAGGCGGAAACAGCAAGAGCACTTTAGCCTGTCTTGCGAATAATTTACTGTTGGTCGCCATGTTTATGGAAACTGTCAGTTTTATATCTGCGTTGTTTTGCTTAGAAAAACCTAAAAATGAACTCGATTCTGAGGAATCGATGGAAGATTGGGCTTCACCTGAGAGTAATCGCAGATAATTGTTTTTTATAAACTCTGGCATAATTAAATAAGATTCCCTTCGATGATATTGAAAATCCCCGAAAGGAATCCATTAATATTTATAGCGAAGGGAATATAAATCCTGCTGTAAACATACATACAGACCTGATGAACCAAGACTTATAACTTAATAAACACTGTTTCAAGAAATATAAAAGATAGAACAAGAAGAGACATTTTAGAATCAATCTCGTCCATATAACGGAAAACACGTGCATGTTATTAAAGGCGTGAAACTAACGATGCGTTTAATAAAGTAGTTTCTGCCAAAATAAGTAGGATACACATGTAAAGCTTTTAAATAATAAAATATACATCATCCAAAATGTTATCTTTTCGGCTGGCATCTATGATGAAATGCCTGATCTGTCTTCCGGTTGACGCCATATCCTTCATTCCAAGTTTCGAATCTACAAGAAGGAAGCGGTTACCAAAACCAGGCGGAAACCAGCCATACCAAGATCAAGCATATTATCTTTACACAGTTTGGGTTTTTCCTGCGGTTCTTAAAAAGTATCTGACTCGCCGTGACGAAAACGATAAATTTCAAATTATCACTTTAGTCTTTTACATCACCTACATAAATTAAATTCAATCTCGACATTGTTGCGATAGCGCATCAGACGATAGCACCAACATTTGTCTCGGTTAAATGTTCACGGAGCAGGACGCGTCTGACGTTTACAGTCATCGTGAAATGAATTGTCGCACTTTACATATGCCCGCTCGCATCGCGCTGTGACACAGTCGGGAAAAATGCGCGGAGCAGTCGTTATTCTCTATTTCCTCGGTATGAAGAACTACGCGCGTTCTATATATTGTAAACAATAGAACGGATAAGTGCTAATTAATCTCTTTCGCTGCCCCGGTCTTCCATCATGTATCATTATCTCGATAATAGAATAGCGTTAATGTATTAATCAGAGAATAGCTGCTCTCTCTCTCTCTCTCTCTCTCTCTCTCTCTCTCTCTCTCTCTCATTATCTTCGGCACGAATCTTATTTTCACATTATTCACCTGAACATTTCAGTCTTTCTAGATGATGAGATAGACGGACGTGCGACGTATACGGCGCATCCGAAAATTATCGGCGGAGAATCGATTGACATCGCACATCGACCTTTTACGGTTAATATCATGTTCTCGTCACTCTCACCCCTTTATTAACCGATATTTCTTTAAATATATGACGATATTTTCAGCTCTCTTTGCACAGTTCGGATGGAAACCTGTGCGGCGCCAGTATATTATCGGAGACATGGGTCATCACCGCCTTCCATTGCTTGTAATTTTTTTTAACGTTTCGATGCATCATTAATATCTTTATCGTCACGATTATATCGGTGTATGAGGCACTCTTATAGATCGAAGCACAAAATTGTTTCCCATAATTTTAACGCTCTGCGTATTATTTTCGAGAACTTCAACGCGGCGATTGAAATATCACGTACGGGCTGGATCAAATAGATGGGACAGAGGCGGGTCTGTGCACAAAGTCAGGAACATTCGTGTGTATAACAGCACGTATATGACTTGGCTTTCCGATGTACCATATCACGATATCGCACTTTTCAAAGTGAAACCACCGTTTCGCTTCTCAAGAACTGTTCAACCGATCCGTCTACCAAGGTCATCAACCGGCGAGATACCGCGTAGACTCTTTGTGTGCGGTTGGGGGCACACGGAGATCGGAAAGGAGGTGAGGATGCTTAGAATTTGCAACTTGGTATCTACAGGATGCCTAGTATTTTATATTATTTACATTTCTCAGGTGTCAGTATTACCAGGAAGACACCGCATCGATCATCGCTAATAAAAACATAAAGCTTAACCCTTTCACTGCTGAATTAACTTCCCTTGAGAAAATTATTATAATATTTGGTAGTCCTACGTTTTTTGGGTCGCTGATTACGAATCTAAAGTCAGATTTGCAAAATTCAAAATGGCAGACTCAATATGGCGATCATGATGTACAAAATTAATGAAAGTTCCAATTATTATTGAATAATGACCAGGTTGTAATAAGAATATATGATTCTAGACGATGGAACTCGATCGAACACAACTGGAAAAAATTTATGTGGGAAAATATTTAGTACTGCATATCTATGCTTACTAGAGATTAAACATTCATTTTCGAGTAAAACAATATTGATAGTATGGATAAGAGATGGAGATACTGAATGAAAAAACTAGGGAAATAGAGCTAAAAAGTGCAAAAAAGTCAACTTTCGGCCGTTTTTTGTAGAAATATTTGTTTATAAAAAAAATCTAACCTGCAAAAAAATACTGAAAAAAATATACGTTTTTGTACATCAGAAAAATATTTGGTGAAAATTTCAGACCTCTACATTCAATACTCTCCGAGGAATCGATTTTTCCCTAGAAAAAGGGCACTTTTTCAACTTTGATTTGTTATAAATAATCACAAATGAATAATTAGGTATAAAAACCTATTGGAGTATGTTGAACAACTATTCAGTTGTCTGGAAAACTCAAATCCCCAATTAGTTCTTCAAAATTATGTGATTTACAACGCAGAATTGAATCAAGAAAAGGTGGAAAGTATACTTCCCACTAACAGTGAAAGGGTTAATATATATACTGCTTAATATATACAAATTTATAGGCAAAAGAAACCGAAACTCTCATGGGCGTTCACGTTCGACACGTGCCGTTCGAAAGTTGCATTAAGGCCACTGTGGATTACACAACGCTCATCCGAGGCATTCATTTGTGCTATGGAACTGAAGGCAAGGATGCCTGTTACGGGGACTCCGGAGGAGCGTTGTCCAGTAAAGGAACACTTTACGGTATCGTGTCCTTTGGTCAGTCTTGCGGAAAAGTGCCCGGCGTGTACGTCAATGTGTCGCATTATTTAACGTGGATCAAAGACGTCACGAATTTATGATTCTACACATCTGACTCTTTCCTTCCGATTGCTGCTGCGGCCTTGACGAATCTTTCACGCTAATAGTTAACAATGAAAAAAATTTTTTAAATTGATGCAACCGATACCTGTACATTTTAATGTCTAATGACTTTTCTTCTCACGGTGAATTGCTTCGCAATTATTAGAAACGACTGTAATTTTTCTCTGTACGAAATAAATCGTAGTGTCTTATTGAAGTGATTAAATAAAAGCCGACCCAATTGCTTTGTCGTAAAATATCGACACAAACCCGAAGAGATTATTCGACGTCGGTCGCACGGCGATAAAAGTGCCATGTTCCTACAGGTAGGTTGAAAGTATTGTTTTCGAGAGAATAGACACAAAAGGTATATCGAATCACGGAGTCGTGAACCCTCCTATGTTCAGGTCCGGTGCGTGCAGGAAATCCACAACGTGTATGTACGCAAGTGTATTCTACGCAAGAGTATCGCACACGCATGCACGCGGCACACGTAGTTTTCGCTCGTGCAGGGCCGAATAACAGATATGCGCGACCGTTGCTGTAATGTACACGGACAAATGTTTAAATTTACGTAATAACGAAACATCCCGTGATACGTAGTATCAAAACTGAAAAAAAAAAAACATACAATGTAATATATATATTTTATCATTTTTTCATCACACATTCAAAACACACATGTTCTTAAACTATAAATTACCGTCGCGTTTGACATAATCTAGTGAAGCGAATTGTTTCAAATTGTCTTTCATTCTGTTTCGCAATGTATGTAAACGATAAAAATGGCCGCGTGAGACAAGTGAAAGCGTCGCATAAACACGTACTCTCCTGTGTTTTTTGTTGTTTACTCGGCCCTGCACGCGCGTGTGTTGCTTTAAGCTGCCGTTTACTGGGATGACTCATCTACGTGTCGTTTCCCTGCGTGAAGCGAGCCATTGCCAGGTTTTTCGCTGGCGCTTCTAAGGGTCTTTAAACTCCCCTGCCACGTGCAGTTCACCGAGTGTCTTCGTAGAAGACCGTGAGAAATGCATTATCGCAATGGACATCCGTAACATTCGAATGTGGGCGGGCAGATTATTTTCGCATGCCGACATTGTGTTATCAATTCAACTCGGGATATGTGACTATCATATGATGATAAAATATAACAATGTAATAAAGGAAATATTTTTTCTATAAACAATAATGTATATGTATTTTAAATTTATCTCTCCTGTATGTATATATATTACGATGTATATTCTATAAATAATAGTGACATGCTTCTGTAAAGAACCATGTACCGTTAATTAATCGATAAGAGTAACTGACCATTAGCACTATGATTATCATGTCACAGACGTCATGTCTTCGTTTGTGACGATTGCACTTGAGAATAAATCTGCTGAATATTTACGGCACGTACTATACTATCTTGAATCGCAATGCCATATGTGGTAAAGTTTTGCCATATCGGTGTAATGTAATTAATGTGTGTTGTTTTTTATATATTAATATTTCCTACTTGGAATTTTGCGGTTTTTTATCGCGAAACTGTGCGGCAAACTAATACAGTTATTTTAATGCAGTAGAAGTAATCTGTTTAACAAGTTGAGAAAGGCTCTTTTACCATTATGTTTTATTGCACAACATTGTTTTTCTGATAAAAATTAACTTCTTTTATTAGATTGTATATAGTGTAAATTTACGTAAGAATATATGTGTGTGTGTGTGTGTGTGTGTATATATATATATCTTTTTTCATTTTGTATTCACCAATATTTTTATTCTAAAAAGTAAAAGTTTACACTTCATTAAAAGAAGCGCGTTTTGCACTCACCCATCGGTCGCTAGAGGATAAATCTTTCTACGGCAGTTCTTGAGAATCTCCCGGCGAATTTTGAGGAACCAAGCTGTGCTGCATTTAGGGCTACAGTACTTCTTCATGACGCAACCACTTTTCATCTGTTCAGCGATATCGTTGTAGCTTACGTATTCCCAGCTTACGTCTTTCAATTTAACAGGCGTCTCCTCAGTCGATATCAGAATGTATGAATCTTGCGAAGCTATACTGGAGGATGAATTCGATAATCTAGTATTGTCATCCTTTTTCACTCTCAACCAAAGATTATCTACGACATCCGGCTCGAGGTGGGTGTCAGTCATTATCGATAAGTTTTCATCTTTTAAATCATCACTTTTAGAAACGCTGGGCGGTATTTCTATTTGTCTTACGTCCATCTTGGCCTTCGAGACTTCCTTCGGTTGATTTTGTGCGAGACTTTTTTTTTTACGGCGAAACCGTAACTTTACGGGATTCGTCGGCATAGCTGCGGAATCGTTGCGGTATGATCGTGAATTGCGTATTATACTTTCACCGACGCATTTTTCCGATTGTACGACACACGAATTTCTTTTCTGAACTTGTCAACTTTTGCACTGATGCACACTTACGGATACGTATGCTGCTTTGACACATGAGCCATCGATAATCTCGCTATCGACGTTACTTTATGATAATTTGCAACTGCACGGTATTATACGACTTAATAACGTCATAACACTTGGGACCGCTTGGAACCGTCGTTCGTTCAGTATGCGACCCCTTCGGAGGAAAAAGTGGCACTGAACAGTCTCCATGCCATCAAGTACTCACGCTCGCTAACCGGGGATACCCCGCTGATTGTACAAGCGTGTATCAAGGGGACTGTCTACTTCGGCTCGACAGAGTTGATGGTTTTCTCTTCGCATTTTATTATATTTTCAGGTAAAGAAAAATATGTTCCTGTGAAGATTTTTCAAAATTCGAATAATCATCAGAGTTATGGGACTATATGTCGGATGCTAGATAAAAAATTTGAACGTCGATCGGGGGATTCCCGGGCTAAACGCAGATACAAAATATTTATCCCTTCTCTCTTTTATTCGTCTGAGTACCGATTCTTATATTAGACAGCCTGTAACTCAGGAGGCTTTATACTCAAAGAAGACACATTGAAAAAGATTTTGTGAACCGTTTAGTTCAAGTGAAAAGAAAACAATAGCACGGCAGTAGTTCAAGAGGTAAGAATTACTCACGTGAAAGATTTAGAACCTTCTTATGAGTTTTATGAAGAAAACGAAGAGATGGGAAGTTGCAGAAATTTTCTTTTTGGAGTACAAAAATTATTGGTCCATCGGAAAGGTATTTTCAATAATGTTATCGCTTAATTGCATAAAAATATTGTAACGTTTTATCAAAATAATAATAATAATATTTATATAATAATAATAAGTATAAATGTTACAATATAATAGATGTGGATAAAATTACGGCAATTAACATTTCAACATATTAACAACTATTCCAATCCTTTCTAAAGATATTTTATCTAAATCTATGCATTAAAAATAAATCGCGGTAAATTCCCGCGAAATATCACGGAGGAGAAAGATAAAAGGAGCGCTCAAGGTTGGTGATATTACGGTTTCCGGCATACGTGGTATTCACGTATCGTTCCAAGTTTTATTCTTATATCTCACTGAACGAATTAATAAAACCTTCAAGATAAAAATATAACATAATGATGATATCGATATTTTTTTAACGTTTATTTATCATTTCTTTACTTAATTTTTAGTTTATATATATATATATATTGCATTCTAATTACCGTAAACTGTTCTAAAGATAATATAACGAGTTGCGCTTGTACATATTGCGGGCTAAATTTATATTGTTACAAGTTAAATCTACTCCTACAGAAAGCAAACATGATAAGATTGTTGATACCACAAGGAAGTACCGAGAAAATTGTTATAATAGACTCAGACGTGTTTCACGGAAAGTGAGTACTAATCGCATTCATAAAATTGCGCAAGGGTACAAGCTACTCGTGCGCGTATATGGTTGTTACAGAGAAATTTAATTAACCTTACTTGAACTCCCCCTCCTATAAAAATTAGCTCACGCACGTGGAATACATAATGTATGATAAGATGCTAAATACCCGGTACGAATCTATGATACTACGAATTACATCGTGTGCGTGTTTAGCAGATTATTATTTCCGGCGAATTTATAACCTCGATCGTTATAAATATTCGTCCGACTTTACTCTAAAGACAACGAGGATAATTTTGTTCAGTGTGTGTATACTGTCATTTTTTTAATAACATATGACCAAGAAATAACTCAAGATATGCTCACTCCACACTGGACAGACGCAGCAGCATCCGAATCGATTTTTCCGGCCTGTCATGAAGTTCTCCATGACTTCGTTCTTCGTCGCGTCTCCAAAACACCCAGGGCGGCATCCGGCGAATAAAATCCGATCGCTGAGCGAAAAGCGAAATACTTGTCCGCGCTATTTAGCGCGAGCACTCTCAGTGCGGGAATACAGGCTGAAGTAAGCGAGAATGTCGAGAAATCGATCTTACACGTCGCGCCGACGTATGGTTACTGGCAACGTCCAGAGTATCGCGTTGTTATGCAAGAAAAAAAATCCACCTGCATAGGAACATGTAATTGCGTTCGTGCTGTGCGCATTGCTACATAGAAATTAATAGCACGTCTCGAACATAACAAAAGAATGGACACAACGGGCGTCACGTTATGGACAGCAACACATGAGTCCGCGTATATCCGATAAAATCGCTCGGTATTACCGGAAAAAGATGCATCATTCCGGACATTTTGATGTAATTATATAATATGATCTTTTTTTTCAATCGTCCCGTATATCCCGTATAAACGTTCAATGAGCGACGTCAAATCATATTGATTGGTTTTCCTCGTTAAGTAAACATATTAACGGATATTCGATGCGCGCGTGGTAGCATTGTATTAATTAATTAAACAACATTTAATCTCGCGAGAAAAAGTTTTCTTTTATGATCTACTGTAACGCCATGTTATATATATATATATATATATATACCGCCTGTTTTAACTCCTCCTCATCAAGCTATCTTCCTTTTTTTCTCGTTTCGCCTGGGGGGTACAGAATTTTTATTACTATACTCTTCAGTTGATGAAAGTTCTAAACTTTGTCTGGTTTTCATCTAAATTACGTTATATCCGCTTGTTACTGAGTTTCGCGACTTATGAAAAGCCGCACCATAGCCCGAACAATTTATACCCGTCCTTATTTTAAACTGCCGTCGCGAATAAGAAATTTAAGCTTCTTTTCGAAGGCCAATTTTTTTATAATTACACTTCACACTGTTTCCAAGCGATGATAAAAAAGATCTCTGTGTTTTTAGGAAAAGTAAAATTATCCTTTCGCGACGAAGGAGCCAAACTTTCGTTTTTGTATCGCATAATTCCCGCGCAGAGCGGGACGTACGAGACGTACGAGGGGATCATATTAATCACACCTACGACGCAGGCATTTCTTAAGTGGCCAATTACTGCGTGGTGCTTACTCTATTCGCGTTTCTGTACAATTCCAGAACGAATAATCCTCCCTCCTCGTTCTCTCACGCAGTTCTTCGTGAAATGGCGCATAATTTCCATCCGCGTAATGAAACGTTAACTACTACATCATTAAAAACGAGCACGCGCTTACCGCCTTTCTTGCCCCATGACGCTATCATCTGCCCGAGATTATCTCACGCTTAAGGAGCTCAACCCACCCCGTGCGCTCCGGTAACATCCGGTACATCCTCGCCGCTCGCGTTTTCACCCTCGTTTTCAGCGGATTCCGGGCGGAAAGCTCGGCCGGCCGGATTCACGGAGGTGGATTGAGACATGCCGGGGTGTGGCCGGGCCCAGGGATTAACCCCCGCTGACAGCCAATCATATCCGAGACAGCCCCACCAGGGGGATGACTGCGAAACCCTGGCTGAAACTGTCGCACTCCCTCGCCATCCCTCGCAACAACCCCCACCGCTAATTGCCTTGGCTTTAATATCGCATGTGGAATGAAAGCCGGAGGAGGAGGAGGAGGAGGAGGAGGAGGAGGAGGAGGAGGAAGAGGAGGAGGAGGAAGAGGAAGAGGAAGAGAAAGAGAAAGAGGAGGAGGAGGAGGAGGAGGAGGAAAAGGAGGAGGAGGTGAAGGCTGCAAGGGGAACCAAGGCAAGGTAAAGGGACACGGGGAGGGTGAGAGGATGATGGTAACGCCAGTTGTAAGGCAGCAGAATGTTGTAGAGTCCAGGAAGGGAGAGACTGCTTTGTATGTGTCGATCGCAATACCCACGTTCCTGGACGGTTCGGGGTTGAGGAAGGGTGCTGGGGTGCGGGGGTGCGTGCGGGTCTATGCATTCGCGAATTTTATGCGCGCACGGGCGCTCGCTCGTGCGGCAGCGAACACACACGGCCGCGGGCCGTAGATCATCGCCGATACGGATTCAATTTGGAAACAATAGATAGCGGCGGTCACTACTTACCGTTGAAATTGATATTTAGTTGGTTAATGATCTTCCGCAGGCCGCATCCGGCAAATATCCTGGATCGCGCGATCGACGCGATTCTCCACTTGATAGATTTACTGTGCAAACTATGACGATTGATAACGACGACGCGAGGACTTTATGAGCGTGCGACAGTCAATTCCGATCGTCACTCGAACAATGACTCTCTCGAGTGCGCGCGGCTTGGTTTTTGAAAATGCCAACGGCGTGTAAATTATAATGCGTTTGCGAAATAATATCGATTGTATGCGATTGGCTTCTGTTGTCGATGCTTTTCGCGACATTAATTTCACTTACACCGTGTGCGCAAACAGCGTGCGAATTGGCAATTGCTTATTCCTCCATTTCTATTTAGTTTCAGCATTTTTGTGATAAAAATTCATGCTTCGAGTGAAAAGTGTGACAAAAGTTTTGATTCAATAACGATAACCGCGTTATGAAATAGTACATACTGAGAAAATTTCCGTTGATTGAATTTATCTAGTCGAGGGTTTGGTGCGCGCATCGAACGAGGAGTCGCCGAGGCGAATAGAAGCTTTGTCGGATCGTCTTTGTCTTATATATATTGGCTCGTAAGGGTGGCTCTTATAAAGCGGAGCAATTATCCGGATAAAATACTCCACGAAATTTCCGTGATAAATTTCGGGCCGTAATAAGGGTGAGTCGCAAGTCATTTGGGCGGCGATCAAGAGGGAGGGACGGGAGAACGGGGGGAGGGGAGTATCGGGCTTCAATAGAAATTCTTTCGGAGCCCCTCTGCAGCGTGGACTACCATTTAATTTATACATTTGTCGCCAATTTCATTCGACCCGGCTTCTGTCTCCCCCTTCAAGAATCTTCTTATTCGAAGGCTGATAATTATCAAACTAGGGAGAGACGTGAAAATAAGGCGGCGGAGAAGTTAACCGGGTAATGTACACGTCCTTTCTCAGAAAGATCTCGCATACAAATTTCTCGCTTTCGAAGGGAGCGCGTTATTACGCGAAATATATTAATTGCGATTTAACGATTAATTGCGATGACACGAAAAACGGAGACGATAAATTTCGTTAATACGCGTATAGTTAGTGTGCATTGTTTTTCTTTTTTCATGGCAATGGTCTGAAAAAAGATAGATTATTATTACAGGTTGGAATTATTATTGAAGAAGCTTTACAGAAGAGTTTGCGCAGTGAGAAATATACGATGCAATTACCGTTGTCCGTAGGTTTGTGAAATAGTTAGAGAGTGGCTTAAGTAAATTTAGGATTTATAGCTCAATCTTAACTTCATAATGGCTTCCCGAGCGTAAAACTTTTATCAGGGATGTTATTCACGCGCGCGCCTATTTCGCGGGACGTAGAACATGGGCATTTATTAATGCGCGTGTATTCTGCTTTTATTAATTATTAATATAAGCAGATTTACACGCATATGTACATGTAACTTCTTCATCAATGTCGATAATTAAATTTACATATTTCCTGAATGCAATGACACATCTACACGTGCCTGCCTCTTCTTTCTGCGTTACAAATAAAACCAATAAATTTTTTTACTGCTGTAAAGAAAATACATTGATAAAATAGCATGTTGTCATATCTAATGGGACAGAGACGTGTGCACACAGGTAGTCAATATAATGTAAAACCTCGACGTAATTAAGCTCTTGCCCTTGAGCTTAACCTCCTTAGAGGTTTTCCAAGGTACTGAAATTCCCGCATACCCGTCAACGTCTAATGAGGGTATTGTGGATGAAGTTTCAGATTGGCATGAGGCGTAATTAAGGAGGATCTATTTACCTAGAAATCTTTAGGACGTATTAATAACAACCGTCGTGGTCTCACTTACGCGCCTTCTCTCCCTCTTTCGGCTCATAACTAAATTATGTAAAATTATGCAGAAGTAGCAAATGAATACATAAATCACTTTTTGCGAGTATCTTTTTTCGATGCCTGAGAATTGCGATCTTCATTTTTAATTGATACTTCCCAGAATCTAGATAAAAAAAAAATAATTCTCTATGAAAAGGTACAAACAAAGTTTTCCTCTGTTGTTTCTTTTTTTTTTTATAAAATTGCCATCTTAGCGTGCAATGTGTCAATAAAATGCAAATTTCTTCTGGAGAGAAAACGGATGGAAGAACTTTGCTTATTTTCATTAATATTCGCACGTACGATACGTAATATTCGTAAAGAAACCTCGCCAAGAATCATGCAAAGAGCCTCTCGCAGGCGATAATTTTCTAAACTAATTTATATTCATTATAATATTAGCCGACGTCTCTCTCCGTGTAATTAGCTGAAGAATTTCCCGAGTCAGCGCGAAATTTCGCAAGATAAATTGCGCGAAATTCCTCTCAATAATCCATAGCCAGTGAACTCTTCGACGTTGAAGACTGTCTCAATCCAAGACGAGGTAAGAAAGATCATACGAACAAAATTAAACTACCTCATCATCATTAGGACCTAATTACCGAAGGAAGGCCTTAGACGCGGATGACATCGCTGACGAGCGGCCGAAGCGAGGCGCTAACTACCGCCGACGCACGCGCTCATCTTCATCCCCGCGGGCGGGTACGCCTTCTGGCTAGCCGGGTGGTGTCGGTGCGAGCATCTTGAAGTGAGCTACGTCGGTCTAGGCGAAAGCTTATTAATGGGCTACCCAGGAGAGGGCAGGGGAACGCGGGTTCGCGGAACGACGACGAGGGAAGAACGGGTTGCGAGCCGGCGGCGGTGGATGCTGGCTGGAGATGGCTCGAGATAGAGGGTAGAAAAAAGTAACAGACTCCCCGCAAATAACCCCCACGGTGCTCGCGGTAGGCGTGTCCTGGCGAAGGGGTGATGGCAGGACCCGGCCAACCAGGATCCGCTGGCGACGCGCACTCCGGCCTTCCCCCGTCGAATGAAAAAATATTGACCGTATGAGGGGGTATCCTGCGGTCCATTTGGGGGTTGCGGAGGTGAAACGCAACGGTCGACTGATTGTCAGGGGTGGCGGGCGGGTGAGGAGGAATACGCGAGAGGCGGTGGGTGAATACCCTCCTCGTCACGTACGGGATCATTAGCTGGATATCCTTGGTCCCGCTGGCCAACCCTATCCGATAGCGGTGATCCTCGTGCTTGACATCATTATCCTTGGATGCTCCGGAGCGCCAACGCGGTTCGACCATACCTCGTCGGAGCAGGCACTTACGCGCTGCGCTCCTTCGGCACCGCTGCGTTTTCTTCTCGCGCTCCCGTTGCCTCTTCGCTTTCGTTTTCCTCGTGTCCCTCATTTGTCTGTTGGGTGACTCGCGCGGTGTCCCTCCTTGACCAGTGAACCCCGCTTTAAAAAGTCCGTGAGAATCGTGATAGTGCGCGAAGTCGGTCTTCGCGACGGAATGACAGTCGCGCGAAGGCGAACGCGATTGTGACGGTGATTTGATAACTCTTCACCTTGATGTGGTGCGTCGAGAGGAACTGGATGGATAACGATCTCTCTCGCGACAGTGACGAATGAAGCTGTTGATTATGATGAAGAAGAGGAGAATTGATTGCACGCGCGTATAATCAGATGCAGTTGCTGTTTCTGCGGGCAAGATCTGCGCGAAAAGTATTTGTGCCGATCTAATATCGTAGTCTCTCCGGAAGGAATTCGACCGTTCACTGTGCTTCTTCCGCCGCAAAATCACGGCCGTTTTGCCTTGAAGAATAAATTAATACGTTATCCGTAGTACACAGAGCAGAATTAAACTTGACCGTTGGGCGGTCGCTGCTGGGCATCAACGCTCTCCCGACGGCCGGATGCTCGAACGATTTTATTCGTAATATTACGGTGCGTCGAATATCGAGTCGTGTAATCGTAGTTTTAAGAGTTACAATGGAGACGAACGATCCGTCGGGTAGATTAACGACGGAAGATTTATCGGATTGCATAAGCGACAGCAGCCACTCGGAGTCTCAACTAAGAGCGTTCCAAAGTTACGAGCGCATCAAAGAGCTGAATCTGTCGATTGACAAAACCAAGGAAGATGCGTCGACAGAGCCGAAGGACTTTCATCTTAGTCTCGAAGGTGGCGGCGGCGGTGGAGGCAGGACGTCCATGCGATTCGACGAGTTTCCGTGCGAGAACTCGGCGAGGAACCTGACGATGCCGCTGAACAAGACCAAAGATTACGGTTACTCCGGCAATAATTTGAGCGAGATCAATTATCCTTTGGACCGATCGAACGAGAGCGAGGAGTCGGCGGATGCGGCCGCGACGACGCTTTGCAGATCTAAAAACTCCGCCGCTAAGAACGCGCTGTTCAATCTGCGCGAGGCCAAGCAAAGGACGCCTCACGCGTCGTTGTCCTCCTTGGACAGGTACAGCAAGGATCTCAACTTCGTGGTGGAGAAGGAGATGAAGGACTTCAGTCTACTCAAAAACTACAGCCTCGATCGCATGAAGGAGTTCAACTTTTCCCTCGACAGAATGAGGGACAATCACATCAGCAGCCTGGCACTCGAGAGACTGCGCGGTGGCGCCGGTTTGCTGGAAAATCCTGGTATGCTCGAGCACAAGGAATTCAGGAACCTGCAAGTGCAGCCGAGGAATCCTGATCTCGAGGCCATAGCTTTGGAACGCATGAGACGCTCGCATCTCCTCGGCACGGAGCTGTCCGCGCAAAACCTGTCGACGCAAGTGCCGCACTCGCACTCCATCACGAATATGCAGCACTCTCAGCAACAGCAGCAGCAACAGGCCAAGTCCTTCACCATCGATGCGATTCTAGGTCTGAGGAATAATCAGCGGGAAAAGCGGGGTCAACAGCAGCAGTATAGAAAACATCAAGGTAATTGTTACCTCGTCCAGCTCGTACAAGTTGACGGTCTTTTCTCTTTCGACGTATGATTCGATGTGTTTTATTATTAGCAGAATGTCGCGTGAATACGAATTAATCGCTCGTATTACATTTCGTTTCTCATGAAATATTGAGATCTGCGTATTTCCCGAAATTTATTTGATTTTTCTCGCTCGTATATATCTCGCGCTAAGTTATCGTATCAAATTATGTATTTGATGCGATAGCAATGTCTACAACGGCAACAGAGTAAATATATCATGGAGGGATAAGTTACAAGCAGTAATGAACGAAAGAGATGATGCTTAAGATTAAGTACCATATTTGAATCACCCGGTGAATTGAAATTTATTCATTTGTTATTTTTAATAAGCCACTCGGTGTGACATAATTTGATTATTGATTGGAAAACAAAAACAGAAACGCTTTTCCATCCGCATCGTGAATTGTACACATGTCCAGTGAGAACTCGCATCTGACTTCAGTCAAATTTCCGTTTTCCTTCAAACACAAGTGTCAAATTCTATTAAATTCTCCACGTCGGAAAAAATGATATTTAAAATCCCACAACTACGTTCAAGGTATCCTCATTCTTTCGGGTCGCTATGCTACAATTATCCCTGACGGTTTTCCAATTCATCGAAGACGGGAAAGTTCACTCAGTTACAAAATAGTTATTTTCTCACGCGCTTCTCAAGCACGATGTCCTTTTACGTTGAACCATGAAGTTTTTATCCGCGTTTATCGTTTATTCGAGATTAATTTCTTTGCGAGAGAGAAGAGAAAAGTTTGTGTGTCTTAGCGACGATGTTTAGGTTTAGGTTACAAAGCGCTCATCAAACATCATCGAGAGAAGAAACCCTTGAAGCCGATTTCTCGTGCTTGCAGGTCAGGAAGGTTCCACGAAGAACAGTAGTTCGAGTTCCAGTTCCGGTGGGGGTGGTAAAGTGAAGAGGGTGCGAACGATCTTCACGGCGGAGCAGCTGGAACGTCTGGAAGGTGAATTCGCGCGTCAACAATATATGGTGGGCCCTGAGAGACTATACCTGGCTCACGCACTTCGTTTGACGGAGGCCCAAGTCAAGGTCTGGTTCCAGAATCGCCGCATCAAGTGGCGGAAACTACATCACGAGCAACAGAGCCAGAGGGTGCATGAATTTCAGCGCTCGTTGAACTCCTCATTGGAGCACGAAGACAGCAACGAGACTGACAAATGGTGAAGCAGGAATCTATGACCTATGCATTTCTCAATCGTGACTGTTACTTTGTTATTTCCTTAGCTCCATAGCTAGGCGACCGTTTTATCTCTTTTATTTCGCCGCGTACTAGGAATCGGGAAGTCACTCTAGTCGATACAGTCGCAAAAGGGATCTCGAACGTCTACTTGTCGATCTTCCGCGCAAAGAGTTTCAGATCGTTTCAGATAACTTCCGAAATAAAGTGACCCCACGTCGTGTCTTTCATTCTCCACTTTCGTTTCTGCGCTAGTTGTCTCGCCGGTTGTCTTCGTATCGTACCGCGAGACATCGCGCACTCCTTCCGGAATCAGTACGTGTAAGTCGGGAGTCGTGTAACGGAGGATCGTACATTTCGACAACATAACGAATTTTCATCGCGCCGAAGTGAGTTTCGTACTTCTTAAAGATTTCTTTGATATATCTTAGCTTAAAGCTGTGAAGAGAAACCGACACGTTCAACGGAGCTTGACGTGTCCCTAAGACCCTCTGTGCTATCCGTGAACAGCAAATTGCCGTTGTAAGAAGTGCAAATCATACTTGAACTCAGATCTAAACGTGTTCGGAGAACGTGTTAAGCTATAACGAAAGGAAAAGTGGTGTCAAAGTTAAATGTAAATAGATATGTAATAAACGATATAAGGAACGAAATTAGACGAAGGTGGAGCGCAAGGTATCGGAATAAAAATCTCCAAGAGATTCAATGGTAACACCTTTGGAGAATGGAGCAAGCTGGAAGGAACAAGACAAAGTACAATTCCCCACACTCGTCCGCTACATGGTCTAATAAACCAACGGCTGACGCTAGAGTCTCGCCTGATACGTGTTGGAAGTATGCTCAAAGAAGTAATCAAGATGCCGCCGATAAAAACACCAGGTAACGCAGATTCTTGTAAAAAAAAAAGTTTGACCAAAAAGTACATCTTATTCGACCGAGGGAACAAACTCAATTTCCGCGGATGCGTAGACGGTAGTATCTAACGAACGAAAACGATTGAGTGAGAGGCAGTCGCGTGATTTTTAGACGCCATCAGACTCCCGTGGCGGAAGCGGCAGTGAATTATTATCCTCCCGCAAATTCTTACAAGAATGTGAAGCATCACAGCCACTCGTGCTCAACATATCCAAAGCATTCTTCCGCGCTCCACGCGGAGGCGCCTCATCGATACCAACCAGTTAACGCCAAATCCAGCAGAAACAATGATTACGTCGCCAACAACGCTGCCGTCATGACGAAAGATCGCTACAAAAGCCAGCCAGAGGACGAGAGTAATGCAGGATACATTGACGAGGCATCGGGAAATTATACGGAGGACAACATAGAGGACGACGCCGAGGAGGAAGGTACGGAAGGTGCGAAAATTGGACTGGTCCTTTTCTTCGTTTCTGCACAAAGTTTTGTCACTGTAACGAGCATTAGTCAGCCCATATATGCCCGCAACTCGTATGACTTTCTGACCTGTTGAAAATGAAATATCGTAGCGGTGAACGATCATGAGAGGATTATCGAGCCTCTCGACAAGGAGTACGATGAGCAAGTGGTGGACGACGAGGTAGACGATGAGTCTGATGTGGCCGCCGAGCCACAGACGATGCAACGGAATGCAGCGAAAAAAGAGGCATCGCTGCGAGCGCAGCAGCGATTGCGAACAATTAACCAGCAGCAAGACCCGCATAGGATTCATTACCGTCAGCACTCACCAAGACTGCATCAGGCTCATGCTCTGGCGACAAGGTTCGTAATGTAAATTATGTATACACTCGCATGTGTCTCTCAAGCAGTAAGCGAACTCTGATCATCTCAATTAGGCGGGCTAGAGATTCTCGTAGTACCTATCTACATGGAAAATTGATTGAGAAACGTGTTTCATCATGTGCATCTTTGCTTCATTTAATTCGCATACGTCCGATTAATTCTCAATTTGTGTTACTTTCATTGTTCTACGGCGCGAACAGTCCATTCAAAGCTAATGAAGAACTAAATGGATCGACACAAAGTAGCATGAATCAGGAATTAGAGGCATGAACGCACATTAACGTCATACGTAATAATTAAACGGCTCCATGTTAAATTATCTGTATTACGCTTTCGGCTCGATATTCTCTTTAATCGCGCACGTTCTATCATCGATATGCCGAATTTCTGCGAGGTGATCGTGTGATTAGGTACTACAATATACCACCCGATCACGACCTCCACGAGGCATTGTCGGAGGAGGATTTGTACGTCGCGCAAGCACTGAAAAGTCCTCCGCGAGGATCGTCAGCGGGCTACTATCCAAATTGGATCCCGCCGAGGAGTTCCGCCGATCGATATGACACGACGACCTCGCCAACACAGCTGAGTCGCGGAGCACGGACGAGACCGGAATCGAAGTCCTTTATGGAGGTAGAATTCGCCGACAGGAGAAAGTGCAGCCGTTGCGGTAGTGTCTCGATCAGGAAGCCGCCGTGCTCGAGGAGGAACAACTACAGATTTCAGGATGCCTCCGCTTTCTCGACTAAGGGACGTTTTGGTAAGTGAAGCGAGGCAAGGTTACCTCGAAACGATGAGAGAAAGTCAATCGAATTTCTGCCCCGTTAAGTCTGCCTGATTAATTCTCACGTCCAACTTTACCGTCGTATCTCGAACGAAATATCGATCATGCTTCACTTTCTTTCAGGCGACGACGCCGAGATTCTCGATCAGTTCTGGTGCGGTCACTGCAAGCAACCGAGACGCTACGTCGAAGAAAGTATGGGACCCAGTGAAATTCCATCACCGGCCTTGTACTCCATAAAATCGAGACGCTCCAGGAACTCCGGCACACCGGTGCACGAAACATCGGAGGGGAAATGCGCGACGGACGAGTTATCGCACGGATATATGCGAATTCCGCTGAGATACGCCAAAGATGCGTCAAGTGTTTTACGCGATAGAATCAGACAGCAACCGGCACAGGGTCCAACTAGGACGTCCGTCCGTTACGACCCTTAAACTCGCGTGAGAAATTGAGAGGATCGACAGACGTTTTACAGATGGAATATGTAAATTTTCGCACTAGAGACTAAAAAACTGTCGTCAAGAAAAGAGATTCACGCGAGACATGAAGCGAGCATCGGAAACTCGTTTCGCTCGGCAAGAACAGTCTCCAGCGTGAAAGTTTGTTTCTTGATCTTACAAGTGTCCAGTTGCATGTGAGCACGTAATATTATCTGTGATCGCTGAGGTCATTAAAGGAGAGACGTCTGGTATCCTCTTGTGTTTTACAAAGAAAAACGGTGTTTACGCGAGAGCGCTAGAGGGCTTTCGGAATATGAGAATTGTTACTTCGAATTCTATCTTTCATTGAATCGTAACAAATAGATACTTGGAATGGGAGCCTAAAGATTTGTAGAAATAAAAATTATCGAGAGCTGATATAGTAGACCCATACACAACGAGAGATGCCATTACAATGTAACAATCACAAATGCTACGATAATATTCTTACTCACACACAGTCATTTCCCTCCTACCGGTTGTCCAACATATATTTTTGTAACTGTCTTTCTCGAATCGTGTAGATGTACTCTGTGTGCCATGTTAAGAAAATTGTGCCACGACGGCGCGAGAGGTTAGACGCAAATGTACATAAGAAGGGAAAATAATGGGCAAACGATGAAGAAGGTACAGCTGATGTCGAAGCGATTCAACATCCTCTTCCTCATTGTAATTTCAGAGAGATAAACTTCACTTCAGAGAAACGTCTTTTGGCACTGGCGAACAAAATCGATTGTAAATACGTGATACTATTATATAATTGATTATACGATAGCCGTACGCGTACATGTTGAACGGAGAATAAACTCTGAGTCTGTACATTGAACAATACTGGTCTGTTTAATTGAACCCAAATTAACATCCACACTTCAATCAATTCATCGTAATTATCAAGGCAAGGTTGTAGAGAACTGCTACGAAGACGCACCACAAATGTTACAAACATGGCTATTTGAGATTGAAAGCTGAACGTAATTGATACGAATTTATTGGAATCTTTAGCGAATATGAGAAACGAGTACTTGAAATCTGTTCGTAAATATAGACGGAAAGAAGTTGTTATGTCCTACGCGAATTTTCCAATGTTTTTCCCTTCGCTCGCGGTCAGAGTTGCAAAGAATACGACTTTTTGCGTTACTAGCTACTAGCCGGGCAAAGGGAAAACATCTACACACACACACACACACACACACACACACAGACATCGACTTTGAAGCTTTTATATAAATATTAATAACGCTCGGGAACTCTGTCGCACGAAAACGCTGGGAAAGTGCGCTTTGTTCAATTAAACTTAATATCTTTATTACATCAGCGCACTAAAAGCGGATGTTATTTATTGCAACAGAGGTGCACAGAGGTGATGGGGTGAAATTCGGGATTCCATGAAATATAACTGAATATTTCATGCAATAAACAGATTGTGTGCGGCTGCAGAGAAAGACAGCGATAAATTTTGGATTTTGCAGCGCAATACGTATTCCGACGATATACGAATGCCATACGAAATATCTTGATGTTAAATTCGTGATAGGAGCTGTGTAGTAATTCTCGATGTTGCGACATTAATATCATCTTGCCGCGAAATTTACGAAGGACTATTAATGCACACGTAAATTGCATCGCGTATACTATTTATTATTCCATATAAAAATTTGACACGGACGATGACGGTTAGTAACTAATATTCGCTCGTTACGCGCGAAAGCCTCATTGTCGCCGTGATAAATTAGCATACGACCCACGTCAAAGCATCACAAAAAGCCCTTGACGCACAATCATGTAGACTTCGCCATCACGAAGATACGGAGAAAGGTATCCATCAAAACGTTTATTCGTAATACACACCATCTCTCGTATCATCTCGCAAATTTCATTTATCCAATATCAATTAATACGGTTATTATCACTATTACGATCCTTCATCATAATTATCAACCTAGCGTCATCGTGTATATTTCAACTCGTTAAATCATAAATCATAAATTATCGTTAAATCATAGTTTCTTGCTGTAATAATCCCGTTACGACAACTATCATATACATATCATCTCCACCTTTTATATTTTTTACACGCTCCCTTTCTCCCTTTCCTTCTCCCATCCCCCCTCTCTCTCTCTCTCTCTCTCTCTCTCGGTCGGATTAATAATTTACAAAATTCCTGGAAATCGTACGATCATCGTACAAAGAGGCTCATGCGTAGATAAAGCCACGTGATCGGATCGAAATCGTCACTGTGCGAAAGGGAAGAACGAAGGCGAGATGAGCCTCGATATCTCGCGCTACAACCCCTGCTGCGAGATGTAAGCTCCGCCTATCCCTCGGTTACAACGGGACTTGCAAGAGCCGTGCAACCCCCACCTTTCGGTGGAGGATATCCCAACCCCTGCTCCATCGTCGTTGGCATCCGCGGCATTCCAATTAGCTCGCGAATCAAAAGAGCCCCACTGCCTTTGTGGGGTCTCACCCTACCTCCGGTAAACTCGCTCGATCTCTCTCTATCGCCCTATCTCGTTAACCGCCTCCTCTCTGTCCGTCTATCTATCCGCCTTGCTATCTGCTTTATCGTACTTTCCATATATTTATCTTTCTGTCTAAATCACTACGCTCACATGTATGTGTCCTCCACGCAGTACTTTACACGCGGCGCGCTGGGCTTTCATTAGTTGCTCTCGTGCGCTCGTAATGTATCGCATTGCGTATTTTCAGGCTAACTGGTTATTCGATGCTACGCACCGCGCACGTATTTAAAGTATCCGACAGTGAGATATATTTGTGTCTAATGCGAAAACCGCACTTGATATTCCTATAGCGCGAGAGAACTCGCGGGAGAACGCTTTACCTTATGCCACGTGCTGCGCAATCGGAATGTAAGCTTACGTTGTGTACCTCCGAAGTAAAAATAAATTATTCCCGATTGCGTATTTATAATCATAAAAAAAAAGAAAAATAACCGTACACACACACACATACACACACACAAATTTATAATGACAATTGGGTTTATTCTGCGAATTTTTTCAGATTTAACCGTTTGTCTCTGTCGTTTTTCCACAAATTATTTTCTCCACCCGCCCTCTACACGGAGTGTAAATAAATAATAAAAGGAATCTCCTTCATAGCATCCTTTTCAGCCTGCACCGTATCCTTGGTCTCTCTCCTTTTTCTTCGCAACTTTCCCCTCTCGTGTCCTTCTTCTCTTCGTTGCTACCTCCGCGCTTATTTGTTGCTCTTTTTATCGTTTTTCCTCTACCCTCTGAATCATTTTCTCTTCCTCTGTGTTGTACGCGCGCAGGCTTTTCGCGTGGAATAAAACCAAGCAACGGGAAAGAGCGGCAGTTACGAGAGGACGGCGGATGGTGGACGGGATTAACCGCAGTTTTAATCGTGAACCCTCTTCTTTGGCGGACGGGATTTATATAAACGCATGAGCACTTTGGCGAAACGACCAAATTACGTTGCTCGCCCACTCCTAAGTGGCGAGCAAATTTTTGTAGACACATTGTAACACGCTAATAACCGATTATTTTATGTTGTAATATACGAACGATGAAAAATATCCGAATGAATATTTGCGCAATCAGCGTGATGTAATGAAATTTTTATGCGTTATAAACATTATTTGTAATAGTTATGTAGGATAGACTGTATACAATGACAAGTGTAAAGTGTCAAGAAGAGGAATGATTCACAGAAGCTATATATATTCTTTTGTAAATATGCAAATATGTTGCGCACTTCTAAATGCGCAAATATGTTGTGACTTCGACACACACGCATACTTCAATATGACACAGCAGTCGAGCTGAATATTAAACGCAAAAGAAAAACAAAATACATACGATTTGAAAGGCGTTATCCTGAAGATTCCAAGAGCGCAATATTGCTGGAGTATATTTCAAGACATTCAGAAATATGGCGGAGCGGATTTCAATATCCCGGCAGGTCGAGTGACAAATTGGTATTGCAAAGCGACTCTCGACGTTTCCCTCGGCCTTCCGCGTTTTTACTCAAACGGGCATCCATATACACCAGTCGCTCGGGGTAATTGAAATCGGAGGAAATCGCTCGTGGTGTTTCCCCCGACTCGGTCACGACGGAGCGCAACGCAAATTTTATTACGGCGCGCCTCTATCCACTTCGTTAGGTACCACTTTGTTTATCATTCGCGGATATTAAAATCGTTGGTATGATGTGGCTGTGTATCCTGGATCGTTTCGCCATTTGTACGCGGCCTGCAGGCGTATCAACGCTTATCTAAATTCCTGTATTTCCGTAACTCGTGCCTGCTTCTTTCTTCGAATATTATTTCCTCCTCGGGGGAATCGCCAACTGCGCCGATTGGAACATCGAAATAATGTATGATTTAATTAATGTTATATCTCAACACGCGGCACTTGGTAAGATCGCGTTGACAGTAACGACGACGATTGTGAGAAAAATTGAAGTGACACGTGTCAACAATTGTGCACAATGCCGGTCAGGATCGAAGAGCATTCCGCCGTTCGAAGCAATCTTCACTTTACGAGTTAACTTGGTATGAAACATGCGATTTCTGAAGTCTGCAATTTGCATATGCGAGTGCAAAGATGTTACGCACACATTGATATTAACGAATAAAGCCTCGGAGTCTTTCCAACTTAGTCGTTCCAACTGTATGACACATCTGGATAGTTACGTCCTGGATAGCTATGACCTAATATAGTTACGGAAATTACAGCAAAGCATGAAGTACGGTGAAGTATGTGCAAGATCGTATGTATGTACACGCAATGCGGAAATATCAAATTAATGAAACAAATTAAGTCGCTTTGAATTAAATCGTGGATAATTTCAGCCACGTCTACGGTGCAATTAGAGAGCCAAGGTTCTTTACAAGATAGCTGAGAGGTTGCAGAAATCTCGAACGTTTCGCGGCGCGCTTCAGCAGCATCCAATTAGCGTTGCGGACGCCGCGCCGCGACGAGCAGTCGAGTATAATTTATTACGCGGCGAAACGACTGGTCGCGCGACTGATTGCAATATTCTTCCCAGATGCGGGTGTCTCGCGCATTGGCCAGCGGGTATGAGGGATGTCCGCGTCGTTATTAAGGGGTGGGAAACGCGGAAATATTTTCGTAACCGATTACCGCCGCACGTATTCACGCGGTCACGCCTGCATGTACGCAGCCATCACGATCGTTTACATTGTAACTTTCGATAATCATCCCCCTACACACACACACACACACACACACACACGCGCGCGCGCGCGCGCAATAACGGCGATTTGTTTTAATAACGCTAGCTCATCCGCGCGTTAAGTAGCAGCGGATACGAACAATCTCGCGCGAACAAGTGTGTCCGAATGTCCGATTAGTTTTCATTCACCCGAATTATAATGCGCGTGTATGTGCCGCAGCACAGCGTGACGTTTCGTACAAAATAATTCTATCGCAGGCTCGCTTGACACTTAAAAAATTCCGCTGCGTATTACCGTATTATGTGTGTCATGTTTCAAGGCGATGCGAGGACTTATCGGGCACGATAATGAGGTTGTTGAATGATTCGACGAGCGCATCGAAATTGTTTGTATTGACGACGATGTAATTTGTCAATTTGAACATCAAAGTACGATATAAAGGCGCTTTTATGCCCGTCGTCAGAGTGGTGCTCGTGTCGAATTTTGTCCAGCTTTCATGGAAATTAAAACGTTCCATCGAAATTGCTCGAAAAATTGATATGAAAAATAATACAACATTTTATACCCGAATGCCCGATACTATTTGCGGTTGATCGATTGCCTACAGGACGATCGGTCGATACCCTTTTTTGCGCATTGCGCCACAAATATTTATAATTCGCGTCGGTGCGGCCACTAATCGAGATTTGGGGATGCTCGGCTAGACGGGGGTCGCGTCGTATGTTCGTAGCCGTCACTAATCATGACCACGAATATACATGCCGTAAAAAGCATAACCGCTATGCAGGACGAACGACGGAAGGGGAATGTACGCCCGAGGGGCTGCGTACAGGTCGCATTCATAACATCAGACGGGGTAATAAAAGTCAGCACCCTGCCCGCGCTGCTTTCTACGCCGCCCTCATTCTGCCTGGATACCCAGAAGAACGCGGGGGCGTGGAGATGCGTAGGTGAGTCAAAAAAGCCAAGAGAGAGAGAGAGAGAGAGAGAGAGAGAGGAACGCTGCGGCTCGTATTGTTCGTGCAGGCATGTGGCATATTCGCGAAAACGTCGTTGCACATACATGTACATGTATCTACGTACATACACACGCGATATTTGATATGTTCAGATTATACGTCAACTGGAGAATTTGCTGGAATTTTACGACTCGAAGAACAGATACTTTGTGGGGATGGAGGTACATTTCGCCTGTAATTATGCATTTATATGCAAGGTATTATTCAATTTTGTAAGATAATCGCGACCTAATGGGATAGTGTTTCTCGATTGACATCATAACAATGTAAGTAAGTAGCAGAATTTTCTTTTTTTCATGAAACTTTATGAAGAATTCTGGTTGAAACGTAACCTACGCTTTTATGAATACCTTATAAAATGCCGAAGGATACTTTATAAATTTTATTAAAATGCGCAATTATGCAAATAATAAGCTGCTTATACACTCTGTATATCTTGTCATAATAATTACATTGAATTATGGAGATATAGGTAACCATAGAAAGAATTTTCTCCGAATCAAGATATTTAAACAAACAATTCACCCGGTCATATTTTCCCCTCTAAAGTAGATTCTTCTAAAGCTAAAAATAAAGCCCTTGAAAGAGTCGATGCTCAAAGGGCTCGATAACGCGACCAGTTAGAGAGACGATGATCGTGTCCCCGACAGTCACTTTGCCCCAAATATAATCCCCCCCTTGTAAACCACTCCAGGGGCCACCCTTTCTAGTCGGGTCAAGTGTTTTCTCCCACTAACATGCGTCGCTCTGTACATCCGAAGGGTGCCATCGAAAGAATCGCAACTATTTCATTTTGGGACAGATTAAACAGATTAGCGGACAAGGATGTACAACCGAGGGCTATTTAGCGATGTCATCTACGACGCAATGTCATCATGGGGTCAAAGAATATTATTTTTTGGCTGATCACACGTGCGTCGTCGTTTCACGCTTGACATACAGGCTACGCACGTGTCGATTAGAAATTGCAATATTACATTATTGCTAACGCGTCCCTGTTTTTTAATTAATACTTGAACAAGCATGCGTTCTCTTCAATTTTTATATTATTTTATTAATTCTTTCTTTTTTTCTTCGAGAAAAACATGACGAAGGATTAATAAACCTGTTGATAAACTAGATCCACCGGAGGGGAGATGAGTGTACAAAGGGTTGAAGTTTTGCTTAGTATCTGAAGGACAGGCAAATCTTTTAATACTTGTATCACATGTTGCTAATTACGTCGCGCTTTGAAGTCTCTTAATACCTTCACCTTTGCGTAAGCTCGTGCCAAAAGGGATTAAATCGAAAATCGGATTTCAGTGTTCAATCTTTCGCTACACAAGCCTGCGAAAGTCAAAGCACGTTGATTAAAGTAATTCTCGCTTAATGAGGGTCTACCGTGTGCAGTGAACGTAGCTGTCATTTTGAAATATCATCGAATGTATAGCGCTGAGAAAAATAACACTGTCACTGTCACTATTAATATACCTTTGTATGCACTATCCAAGCAACTTATTACTTTTATACTTTAAACATTAATATTAAGGATTAATATTAATATTTATACAATTTAATAATATGCAATTATACAATATATCGTTGAATGTAATTGGCGCAGCATTACCATGCCGATATGCTAAAACTGTCACTTGCGCGGTGAATGTTTTAATCTATTATACATATGTTACAACTTTGCAAAATCTCGTGAAATATTATCTTTAAGAAATTTTAAATAATAGCTAGCATATAATATATTTATTATTAGACACGAGAGAAAATAGAGATGTAATTCTTATAGCAAAAATATTATAATTGCAAGTTGTGCAATCAATTATTATATAATAATTTTCGAAGTTAATTATACAATATTTTTGATTTTGATTTTTTTCACAAGATATTAATTTCGTCTTCGCAACAATCATCTTTTCACAATTAAATATAACACAATCAAAGATCTTTTAACAATTTTTAGGTTTCACTGGCATACACTAAAACAGAGACCTATATTACCTATGATCGCTAAACTTTTGTTACTTATTTTTTGATTACACACGTCACATTAAATATTTTTATACTCTCTCCAAATCTTATAAAAACAAATTTGTCGCTATGTAAATGCATATGCAAAAAAGAATAGAGCATTAGTCAATTTCACTCAACATTTTACGCATAAAAATATGTTGTAAAATATGTATTTACACATAAAGATATGTCCAACTAATAATGAATTTAAAATTAAAATTTGAACCAACAGCTTTTTTTAACACCACAAACTAATGTTTTCAAGCTTTGTTATATATTAAACATTAATCACGACATCGTAGCTCTGACAAGAGAGAAGGAGGAGAGGTGTCATGGGCCGCTTTTAGTCGAGCACAGCGTGAGGCGCCCTCTGTACAACCGTGCACATGAACTACGATACCAATGTCCACTACTCTTTTCTGATTTCCCACGCACGCACACATAGCCGGCTCAGTCTATTCGTGTGGACCACGCGCTCGACAATCGTCGGCGCGCCGAGCGACAGAGAGATATCATTCCCTCCTTCTCACTCTCGTGTTCGCTCAGGGACGCGAGTGAGAATATCTTTCCCTCTTTCTCGCTCTCGTTCTCGCTCAGCGACGCGAGAGCGAGGCTATGGGCAAGAGCACAGGCTTTTGCATAACACATAATACACAACGCATAAGAGAATCAACCAATCAGAGTTCTTCATTTCTGTCCTGAGGAGGGAAAATGATACCTGTCCTTCTCCTCTCTGATTAAACATTAATCACGACATCGTAGCTCTGACCCGTAAAGTGTGTTGAATACTCTAACAGTGCTCTACATTCACTTTCATTTGTTGGAACTTTGTAGGGACAACTTTATCGCTACTGGTAAAATAAAATACGTTTATTGAAAAATTCTTGTAATATAAACAAATCAGTTTTAAAATCATATTCCATCGTATTTTTATGATGATGATAATATTGGGCTGATAATGTTTAAAGTAATTATGTGTTAATAGTCAATATGGTTGACATCATATCGTGCACACATGGATCTCACTAACATGGTCGACTGATGTTCATACAGATATAAATTTGAGCGCCATCTTGTGTTCCTCAGATTATTGTATTACAGTTGCGATTTTCTAGGTGTAATACCAACGCGGACACGCGAACCTTTCTAAATGTAATCGACCATTAGCCCAGTCAGTCACTGTGCTCCATAAAGTGCTCTGCGAACGGATGTTGCGCGAAGCGACGTGTCTGCTTATCAAATAATCGTGATAAACGTTCGTGCCAACGTGGATCTTTAAATTACGGGTCTTCGGGTCTCGAAAGGGGATTTGAAAGTACATTTGTGTTGACGTGTACGGTTACCCTCTTAATGGCAGTGCCGCTGAAAACATAGCGTTCGACGTCACCGTGAGCATGAACAATACATCGCGTAAAGTGAAAAATCCGTTGCTGTCCGCCGCAGGTCCGGGCTTTCCGATCGAGAACTACACGGAGAATGCATTGCTAGTGCCAGTCACACCCGCGACTCCTGCCGTGCTCCGAGATGGTGAGTTTGCGTCCGACAAAAGAAACGTGGGTGGGGCTCGGCAATCTGTAAATTTCGCGCATTGTCTGGTCCGATAACGCAGAAAACTGCATGATGGTCGATTCTGGAGTGAGATCCACTATCTGATAGCCTCTTCTCTCCGCTTCTTCTCCTCCATTTCGTGTTTACGCTAACATACACTCGTGCGTTCCAAACATCTGTTACTCCGTCGTCGTTCGCGCAGGTAGTTTTATGGGAAGGAGAGATGTGAGATCTGTTCGTATTCGAAGAACTAGTACAATGAGTTGGAGTAAAACAAGTATATTTTCTTTCACACTCTAACCTATCGCACTTAGTTCAGAACTCTTCGAAAACGAACAGACCTATGGTGACATGCCTAAAGTCCCTAGATCCAGTATCGTACGTTAGTGTGATTCGTGTGATCGATCTGGGTTTTAAACCCGATAAGTTAGCGGGTCAAGTTAAAGGAAAGGTAGTTTTTCCCGTGTCTGTTTTAGGCGATGAACTTAAGACCGGTTTGGATGAGCAAGCTTGTGCAAAATTAAGTCCAATCGGAAAATTACGAAATTCGCCAAACGCTGTCATCCAACGCTGTTTAAGCTGGCATCCATCCCTTCCATTTATTCTTGCCACAGGATTATATCTTACGCAGCGAAAAAGTCAGGAACGTGACAGTGAAGTTGTGTGTGTCTGAGACTGCTGACGTAAACAATAAAAGACCGACACATACAAAGACTTAAGCGAATTGGCTATTACAGGTGAACATTTGAAAGCTGCAGTTATGTTCTCGATAATTCTAAATTGTGACTGGTCTATATTAGTTCGCACAGTTCACAACTTCTACTGTTTATGATTTCTGCATGTCCTTTACTGTATAATTTATTTTTGTTGACACTTCTATAAATATAAAGCACTTCTTCGAAGGTACAAACTTTGCATCAAACATTCTCTGTGAGATGTAGTTCGTAAGAAGCATCGTTTAGTTTCACTATGACTTCTCTTTTCTTGAGTGACAAGTTGACTACTACAACGATTTGTATTTAGTATTTCATAACATTAGATTTCTTTTATACATAGAAATTTATTAAATACTTTACTTATGTATATATACAGATAGGCGTATAGGTATAGATTTAGGTATAGTGCAACTTCCAATGACACAGTTGACTTCTACAAGAATGTTGTTAGAAGCTGGTTCTTTCGGATCTAGCAGGTGGCCTGGAGCCGTATCTTTGTGTGTAAGGTAGATCATGACCATTCTTCTTGCGAACGCAATAGACTATTGAGATGATGAGGAATACTAGAAGAAGGAGAAGAAGTAACGCACCAACTACGATAGCAGCTATCTCCCCCTGCGACAGGTTGTCCCATTCTATAAAAAAAGATGAATGTTATTTTGACATTTAATTTTTTCTTTGCTTCCTTTATTCAAGAAAGCCCATCAGTAATGTCTTTTAGTTCCGGCTTAGTTTTCAAATGAGACTTGTTGTGTCTAGGTATACCACGAGTGTCGATTGGTGCTTGGAACTGCTTTTCCTTATCAATTAATTTTATATTATCACAAAATTCATATCAGATTTAGTTTTGGGTCGTGATATATAAAAACGTAAATTAATCTGCGTAAAATAATAATTAAAACTGGAAAATATTATCAAGATCTACTGTCATGCAATCATGTCAATTTCACATTTATATATACATCGCATTCATATATACGTTATTGTTGTGTACCTGTGACGTCCATTTTACGGGAATATTGATTATTTAATATGTCAATCGCTGTAACTGTAGCTGTCGTAGTACAGCATGTTGATAAATAATAAAACGTCACAGAGTTTTTTGTACCACTTATGAATTCAGTGCGTGGATATATTCTATTCGGAGTCGACGTTACACTCTTCAGACCTGTGTCAAAATAGAAAAGAAATAGAAAAGAAATATAAATTATTAAACTTTATAGAAATTCTCAGCTTTTTGTTTCATTACCCGAATCGGGATCTCGAATAGTGATGTCAGCGCTCCAAAATGTTTTATCGCATCGGTCTCTGTTTAAATTACCAGCGCAATTACTATTAAACGAGTATTCGATAGTTGGCCTCACATTATCAATAATCTGAAGAAAGCACATAGCAGATAATAAAAAAAATTTTTAATTCAACGAAGATACTGAATTAAAAATATTTTGATGTAAACCAGGGAATTCCCCAGTTTATCTTACTTTATTTATTTTTACCTTGGAGAACGGATTTTGGACGTACACATACACCGCTTTTTCTGATATCTCCGTACCTTCGACGGACAATGTAATTGTATTGACTGTATTTTGCCCGACTCCTGCTGGCACAATGATATCCACGGCTACATAGCCTGTTTGCCCCGGGTATAACCACACGCTGTTGAAGATTCATAAAAGCGAGCATAGATTAGCAAAGGAAGTATCAAGATGTATGTTAATCAGTCAAATCGAACGATTTATTTGGTAATGTTATTTGATGACGATTGATCTACGTACAGCGGAGGTCGTACGCTGCTAATCCTAAACGACGAGCTCGTAGCTCGTACTGCATATCTGACCGTAAGAACGCAATTGTTCGTCAAGTCGAAGAATACTGTATGTATTCTCCCTGGTACAGCCACCAAGCTACTTTCAGGATTTACTTCTATCAATATCCTTTGCTTTCCAAGAATATCTTCTTGGTTGTCCCCTGCCAATCTCGTTGAAAGTCCTTGATTCTTCGTCATTCCTGTCGATACGTTTTTACCAGCGAATGGCCTCACATTCATATCGATGTCTTCGTTCAAGGAGGCAACTTCGGATGATCGCACCTGAATTTTCTGTTCCTGTTCTTTTGGCTGCCGTTCATTGAAGATCGCAATATCAGCACCTTCCTATAGTTTACAGTAGAGTAACATATTTGATGCTTAAATGCCTCACCAGAATAAGCATTCTTCCGTTGAGTATCGGCCTGTTTGACGCACTTTGCAGAGTTCTGGCGTCACCATAACTCGCCAAAGAATTATTGGACAAGGCAGAACTGTTAACAATATCTTTCACTGCGATAACTTCAAGTGAGGAGGAGAGTGACGCGTCAGAAAGATCACCCACCATCGCTACGTCGTTCACAACTTCTGCAGATCTCTCAAATACAAATTTCGGTCTGTTACTTGTATCAGACTTCATTGGAAATGCCGAATCGATTCGATCATTTGCCTCTATCATATCCTCGGAGATCTGTAAAGTTTCAACGTAAAGATAGATATTCTGAAGGCTGCACGTGCAATCATACCTCTTATATAAAGACTTATATAAAATTGATTTAATCTGATGTTTTTCTGTCCAACTTACCTTTTTCACTTTATCGGATTGATGAAGTTTTTTAACTGTCACAGTTGTTGCTTCGTTCTGCGAATCTAAGTTTTCTTCGGATTCTGCACATCAATAAAAATCAGTAACAATATATCTCGCAATGTGACGGTACATTTGATTAATTATTTTATCACATAGGGTACAATGTGTTATCAATTACTAGAAAAATCCTACATGTCGAATGATGTCCCTAATATCTTTCCGAGAATCCTATCAACTTCATTATTCAATTGTAGAAGCAGAACTTCCTCTTTCAGAGGTTTCATCCGTGTTTAACTTTCCACAGCGATGAAAGTGAAAGTGCCGGGCCCCTACCATGTTGTAATCGTAATTGTACCTCTGCCGCAACGATGGAAAGCGTAGCTTAATTAAAAATCATATGGCATAAAGCCATAATTATTGACAAGACGGCTTGGATTTCCGCGTAGGAGAGACAGAGATATTAAGAGGATCACGATTACTTCGAGGTTGCAACTAATTTCACTAAATGCGCGATAATAAAATTGGCTATATTCAGTGGTATATCCGAAAATAGAATCGCCGATAATAATAACATTGGCACGGTTTCGAGGAACTCAATGTAGGCATGCTCTACTATAAATAGTGAATTTACGAGAAACTCCCATAAATTTGATTGTTCGTCTTCGCGCGATCAAAAGTGGCAGCTTTCCGCGGCTGGTTGGCGTCTCAAAGACAAAGAGAGCAAGAGGGAGAGATGTGGGGGGTCTTAGTGTTAAAAACAAAACGAGCTACTTTATTAAATCTGCTTTGCTTCTTCTGCGGAACAGCGTGCGTCAGAGTGCGAGTTAAATGCGAACGAGGGAGAAGGATAGTGCGAGAGCTGCGATCAAAGGCCACTGAGTGAATTGCGCAATCTTGTGTATCTGCGGGCCAGAAACCGACGGGTTGGCAGTTGTTAGACGGCTCGTGTCGTGTCACGAAGAAATTGGAAGTCGCGCGATAGTGCGTGTAAGCGCGTGTGCAGTTCACGCGTTTTGTTGACTGCTGAATTCGCGCGCAGATAAGAGTGAGTGACATTTTTATTTTAATTCGCGGTAAACGCCAGCTGCGGCAATATGTGTGAATCTTTTCTCTCTCTCTCTCTCTCTCTCTCTCTCTCTCTCTCTCTCTCTCTCTCTCTCTCTCTCTATCTATGAGTGACCGCGCTAAAGTCGCGAGATGAATGCCGTCTTGCTCGTAATTTTATACCATTCTGCAAAGCATCTTTGTTTGAACATTTTTCAAGTCTTTTGATTAGACAAAGGTATCGGCGTTGGATATTAGTCATTTCATGCTGATAACTTCCTAGCTAGTGGAAACATTTCACTTATACATGAAAATTCGCGTAATTAGCGTGCTGAATTAATACGTCGCGTTAACCCTAAAAAGTCGTGCCAACTCGCGTGACGTTTGGGATATAATTATTTCTTAAATGTATGAGTGTTGAAGTAAGTATTAGAGTAATGTTCAACAAATAATTGTTGACATTCACCGTTTTGCGTCGACTTATAATTATCACGTAAACTCCTAATTTCGCTTACCGTTCATGAGTCGGACGCTGATAATTTCATTCTTCGTGTAATTTTCTTCGCTCGCTCCGAAGTAACTGGTCACGCCCAAGTTGTACTTTGAATTTTCCACCCCTGTTAGTTTCACGAGCCAGCCACCTGGCGGAGGGTTGCGCGCGCCGATAGTCACCCCTTTCGCATCGTACATACGCGCCAACGATATCGTTATTGCTGGCCTCTGCATCGTCCTGTCTGCTAACGAGTGGATTACACAAATGTAAATCGTTTCTTCGATCAGGCGTCTTGTTGTTACGACGTGTGGGCAGAATTTAACGATAATAAAAAAAGAATTGCGATTCGACGAAAGGAATTTTGCTTCTCGATCTTTTTGTGTCAAATGTATTTTTCGTGTCTGCGGGGTTACATCGCGTATTGGACAAAAATTAAATAACAATAGCCCTTTAGTGCAAGACCGTAATTGCGTGCGACGTGTCATCTAGTTCGATGCAAGCAGTACGAACGAGGCAATCATGCGGTCGATAGTGTCCTTGGCGCTCGGAGGTTGGACGAAATCGTGTTTAAAGGTAGCGACTCTATATGTAATGAAATGCATCTAATAATCGAGGAAGTGTGCACGTCGATAAAGCAATTAGTATTGTTTTATTTAACAACATATTGCACCGTGCGATTTATCACGCCGTCTCGCGACGATGTCGATGACATTTCCCTCTGTTGTCTCTCAGGAGAAAGTTGTAGTATTTGATGTGCGCAAACGATATGTTCAATTCACACAAATGAAATAAACATAATAACGTAGAAGCACGTTTTTATCACTTCTCTTGTGTTTCGTCACTTAATTTTTTGCATGTGCTATCTTAGTTCATATAGATAATGAAAGAAACGTTGTAGCGTTTCTCGCAAGGATATATTAAATATATTTGACAAGTCTCTTTCGATTGGAGTTGTTGTTGTTTTGTGAACAATATTACTTGGAGATAAGGTGCCACATTTGCTTATCTCGTTTCTTTAATTTTTGAGGTAAAATATCGAATAAAATCGGCTTCTCGGAAAACGTGACATTAAAACAGAAAGAGATGCTGCGTGAATGGTTTATTTTTAGCCGCGTCGCAGCTAACCGATACATCAGATGTTGCTGAGAAGCACGCGACTCGCGAGGGTGATATTATCGATTTCGTATTGTATTACCGGCTTATTACACGAAGAATGTGAAATAAGACTTACTTGTAGGTATAGCCAGAATCGCGCGTGTAAGATTCCCTCGAATGTTGATTATAATTTTCGTCACATTGACGTCAATGTAAAACTTGCTTTCAGTGTATCCGCTCAAGTTGATCCTGTGCATCAATGTTTCCTTCTGCTATAAAATACACAATTTACAATTTGCTTTGCTGTATGAACGTAATAATTTTTATTACTTACCGGAAACTCTGAATCGATACGCCAGGAGGTTTCAGTGCTTTGATCATTAATTTCTGAACTCGAGTCTGTTCTTTCATATTGATTCATCAGACTTCCTTCCATATTTACAACTTCGCAACCGAGATAAAGATAAATCTATAAATAATTTAGTAATAATTTTTAATAAATAATTTAAACATGTAATTAGCAATAACTTTTAAGATTGATTTTAAAAGAATAGCATAAACAAACTTACTTGGCAATTATTCTCTAAACTTGCCAAACTGTTAATGATATATTTTGATATCTTTAACCTTGGGCTTTTTTTTAATAAAAATATATCTGGAATGATAAAAAGTAAAAACGTAACGTAAAGTAAAAGATAACGGTAAAAGTAGCCACAGTAAAAAGAAGCTTATATAGACAGTATGCAAATCTGCTTTGTAACAGAATGTTATTAACATTTAATTTAGGATTCTGACCTTCTGGACATTTTAATTTTCGTATATATAAATAATATTTATGAAATATATATTTTAATTCAAAACATATTTTAGTTATAGTTTACTATTATTAATAAGATTACTATTATTATCTTTGAGGCGTGATTACGTTGTAATATAATTATAAAAATGTTAGATAATATATATATATATATATATATTTAATTATACGTCATCAGTTATCGTGAAGATGTGCAATGAAAATAGCTGACAGCAACATTATAATTTACAAAAGCCGACTTACGTCAATGTAAAGTCGGGCGCGATAAGCAACATCAGCAGCATTGGTAATTTAAAAAAAAGAAAGCATATATTTAAGTTGTATTAGTAAATTCAGATTATTACCCGTTTCGTTTTCGTTTCCGGCGAGTGACCAATAGAGATTGATATCTTCAAGCGTCTTATCTTCGTCAGTTTCCATTTGTTCTATGCAGTACCTTTCAACAGAAACATTTCCTTTTGTGTATACTTATTTACTCCGTAAACTTATTTATTCCACAAAAAGACGGAAAATTATCAGTTTCTTCAGAATAATACACAATTGTAATGGAAAATCGAAGAAACCAGTCTATAAAATCCAATTTCATGTGTCATGGAAAATAAAAATTATTCATATTTGCCCTTCTTAAAGTTTTTGGCACATTTGGCAAAATTTTACCCTAAGCACGTGATAGTTGGTAACTCTTGCGATATTTTTACATGAAACATGTAAACTATCAAAAATATTGCCCAAACATTATATTAACGTACCTAAAACACCTCGCGTTTTCAATTTTTGTCTTCACTAATAAATCTGTCACACGCGGCGATTCATGCAGAATTACAGAGTCAAACGTATGATTTTTTCTAACAGTTTCCACGAGTCTCTTTTTTGTTTGCGTATGAATTAATCGTTCGCTTTGCATATCCTCTTTCTTGCCACCTATCTGAGAAGTGTTGTTAATTGACGCGAAGTCTCTCACAAATATCGATTCGCCGATCGCATCTCTGTACAGAATGCACGTCAAGATAAACCAGAACACACGCGATTCCATGACGCGACCGTAAGAGAAAACTCAAGCGAAAGACTCGACGCAAAAATGTGCGGCGTACTTATAAAGTTTCGTTCGCGTAGGTTTACGGAGAAGTAACGTGTCGTCGGTTACATTGTCGATAACACAGGTGAAAAAGTAAATCTGGGCGTCAACGTGCGCCGTTGCACAATCCAAGGTGTCTCCTTATGACTGAAGCGCGATGTCTCGAGATTGCTTGAGTTTATAAATACTGCAGCCACCTGCTGATATTTTGTTGTAATCTTGGATTAAATGTTTGGGAATAAATCATTTACGACGGCCTATGTGAGAACTATGTGGAGGGAAGCTGAATGTTTATACGGGAAACATGGTGTGTGCCTTTCCTATTCGAAATTAATATCGAGAAAGATGGTAAAATTTGTGTTAATTTTTTCATCGATAAAGCAATATTTGGCCTCTTCATTTGCACACACACACACACACACACACACACACGATTCAGCATGTTCTTATCTGGATGTTTCATCTGAATCATATCGATATAAACGATACGAACGATTAGTCGCGTTCTATTCATAGGGGAAACATTTAATAGACGCGAATACATAATTATTTACATTGACATGCAGATTGTTGGTACTACTCGAGTATTGCTTTACAAGTGTGTACGGATATATAATGACGCACAAGTGTGAAGTGTTTTGCGAGCTATCGATACGGTCTTCTTATTTCGTACAATACAGCTGATATCATTCTTAATCGTCGTAAATTACACTTAAAACACATGAGCACATACGTTTGCAAACAGGATATGTTAATGTAACAACACTGGTTATACGAAGTCCGTAAGGATGTTCGTGTAATCACCTACGTAAAAAAAAGCGAAAGTAGAAGCGCGTCAGTCGGCTCGCATTATCTTCGTCATTGGTTCTTCGTTCATTGTATCCTGTTCAATATTGACAGATCGTGAATAATACGCTAGAGAATCCAGTCATCCTCAAGGGGATATTTTATGGACACATCCGATCAGCCAAGAATATCTATGATCAAAACGGGCGTGCCCTATTCGCTTTCAGAAATATTCGCTTCAACAGGAATATTTTTTTTCATCCCGTAGAAACAATGTCAAGTCATGTTATACAGCAGGTATACTTTTTCTTGCGATTATTGCGTAGAATTTATCTTCCAAAGGTGCAAAGATTGCCACCTATCCCTGTTATCGCTATTATAAAAAGAAAAAAAAGTTTCAAACGGTTGAAATTCTGCGAAGATGTTTTGCTAACGTAGCAGAAAATATCGTCCGCGTGATGGATGATGCATCGGAGAACAGGCAGAGGGTAACGATAATAATTTAGCTGTCATTTTTTTCCAGATACGGAGCTCGACAACTTCGTAGGACAGGAGTCGGTCAATAATAATAATCAACCTCAAATATCGTCAAGGACGTACGAGCATCTTTCTACGAATGCATCTCCTCAGCCGAGCGAAAGTAAGGACACGGCGAACCAGCCGACAAAACAAGGATATTTCACATCGATTCTGTCTTCCCTGCCAAACTTGTCGCTGGCATCGAACAAAAACGATTTCCCGGGGACACAAATAAGCCAGACGACGGAGAATATCGGCGGAGCAACGCACGAATCCAATCCTTATGCAAGCTCGCAAGGACGTCATATTTTTCAGCCAGATGAACCGGGATCCTTAGCAACTAATCTTTCAAACACTTCCAGTACAGACTTGTCCGTTACTTTCGATCCTGCTTTACCGGGCCCTCCGCAGTCTACGATTCCACCCGGTTTACCTGTAACTAAAGATAGTGAGTACCTGGAATCAACTTGTAACTAAGAAATACTCATAGTTAAGTAACTGGTGCGTGGAAAATGTATGACGACGCAAGTAAATACTCTTAATCGCATGCAATATACATCAACTCAATATCAATATGCAACTAGTTATTTATTGACGTTTATATCTACGCTTAGCCAGTTCTTACGTCATGCATTTTTTGCTCTAACAACATTTACAACATTTGTTATTCCCTGTTGAAGGTCCAGTGTCGTATCGGCTTGGTAATCAACGACGTCTGAAGTACGCGTTGCCGCCCGATCTAACGTCTAGCAACGCGAGGCGATATCTCAGTCCAGAGATAGAAACGTTCATCTCGAAACAAAATGTATGTACCGCGCCGCCGAGCATTTTGAATCCATACGAATCAGAGGGATCCCCTCAGAGTAAGAATATCAGCGTGCAACAGATCGGTACTCCGCCCGAGCAACCCCCAACTTCTGAACAGTTGTCGCGCAACAGCTCTCTCCACGGTTCCTTTCGATCTAGCCCGATCGCAAGTGGACCGGCGTACAACTTGCCTTTAACGTCAGCAAGTCAGAATCCTTTTAACGAGAATTTCTCCGTGCCTGCGTCGCCGCAATTTACTTCGTCGCCAGCTAGACCGATACCATCGCGACTTCTGGAACCCGCAACGCCGCAAAACACCCCAGCGAACGTTTCGTTTCCCAGCTTTGTCCCTTATTTGAACCGGGACTTTCCGTCGGCTGATCCGAACAAGGAAGTGACTGCGTTTAAAAGCTCTCATCAGCTAAATTCGCCGCCGGAGTTTTCGAAAGACGGCGTCTCGGAGGCGACGGTAGAAGCTGCCGATAAATCGTCATCGACATTGGGAGACACCGATGCGACTTTCACGCCGATATCGGCAGCTCAGGTGACGGAGAAGTTGGAGCATCTGCTTGCGGAACGCGAAGAAAGTCTGACTCGTGAAGTATCTTCCGGAGCCTCCTCGGAGATCGACGAAGTTACGTCCAACGTCGCCGTCGAATTAGCGAGATCCTTCGAACTGCAGAGCGAGGCGCCGCAAGCAGCAAACGAGTTTATCGAAAGATCATACGAGCCGAAGTCAAATGACACTCGAGAGAAAAACGTTCATTCTGCGAGTAACAGTCTGAGTGACGTGTTCCTTGGACAAAACTCGTCGGAGCTATCAGTAACTCGACCGGAAGTATACACAGCCGACAATAACTCGGTTGTAGCTGATATCCCAGGGGTTAAGCAATCAAACGCACACTCATCGGAGCAACCGCCGACCGCGCTGTATCCCATTTTTCAACAGACAAACGAGCCGTCGGATCAAAAGTCGAGCTTGAATTATGTGCCGTTTGTACGGCCTCTGCATCAAAACATTTTCTATGTGCCATTGAAGCCAACGGAGCCATCCGCGAGTGTGTACTTCGAGTCGACGGCGAAGAGTACAGATCGGCTTCCGGATCCTTCGTCTCAGGGGGAAAATTGGAATCGGCCTGTCGCTCAGTCGACAATCGACGCGACTGACAATCGGCAACAAGTTCAACAGACACCTGCTTTTGACTCTTCAGCGGTCGACTCCTCAGCTTTCGCGCCGCTTTGGAATGCCGATCAAGTCCCTTCGCAGTCGCAGGGGCTGAACGCCGCCGCTCAGTCCGCCAATCAATCGACGTCCATCGCGTCCAAGCAACCACCACCCTTTACGTTCTATAATCCCGCGGAGTTTGCGGTGAATCAATTGCCCCAGCAGCCGATTTTCTCCTACACGCCCGACCAGCATCTCGCGCAACAGCAACCGAGTCAAAGTGCACCTCTTTACCAGAGTGCCAGCGGCTTTCATCAGCAACCCTCAGCCGTTCACGAAAATAATACCGCGTATCCTTTGTCTGTTGTTTCTATGGCAACAGTACCTGAACCAACAGGATCCGCCACACTCAGCCCTGTTCAAATGTCGACCAATTCTTTAAACAATCGCTCCGTACAAGATACCATCCCACCAAGCTTCCAGAACTTGGTAAGATATAGAGTACCTCGAGCGAGAAATATACTTTGCAACTAAATGGCAGTTACTCTCTTCGTTTCGTCGTGTCTTAAGCGAATCGTTCGGAACGCAGAGCGACGTCCAATTGATGAGAATGACATATTTTTAGGCCTCTGGATCTGCCGAGCAACGCGTGCAGTACAGACCGATGTACCATCACTGGTTCTACCGCAAGCAAGTGGAAAGCAAGATAGTGTGGTATCCATTTTCCATGCAGGACAGCTTAAAACTGGAGGAGGTTCACAATTCCAGCGAAATTACGACGGAGACCACAGTGGCTACCGATGGCGGCCGTTACGACGTCAGCATCTTGCGTCGGCAAAGAGCGCCCGTCTATTGGTCCGGGAAATCGGACGAAGTCAGACGATGTTCTTGGTTTTACATGGGACCGATCGAATCAAAATACGTTCCTTACGACGAGAAAACCGCTACGAAACTCGAGGAGGAGTACAAGCTAGCGTGCATCACGAATGTCTGGAATCGAAGAATCGAGCTGAATAACGGAGAGTACATTCTCTTCCACAGCGCGACTGTTCAAGTTCATTATGTGCATCCAAGTTCCTCCGAGTTGTCAGGATCTTGGGGGAATAGCACGGTAAAGAAGTAATCTCTTATGTAACAAAGTTTATGAGATGCTACGTTTGTTTGAGAGAGGACAACATTTATTTCACGCATACGCAAACTTTTATTGAAAATTAATTGTATTTTATCCGTAGCGTATAATTAAGCTTCTAATTTTGTCCAACGCATACATTGTCACTTGTTACTAAAGTTGCGTACTCCGCTACGTACTGATATATAAGTTTAGTGACAAACACACAGTAATACGTACGATTTTGTAGATTGTTTAAAATTATACTTTTTTGGTAGAACATTATTGCTGCTATTTTAAAATAAATAACTTGGCCTAATTAATCTTTTTCTCGATCGCGAAGGTTCTTTTTCTTAATATCGCTCGCATGGTTCTGTTTGAAATGGTTGATCCTAATTTCTGCAGGGTTCAGCGGACGGTACATATTTACAGGGTATCGCAAACAGGCCGAAAACCGTTAAAAGGGGAGTCAGTGAATTCAATATAGACGAGGGCGAACCCGAGAAAGTGGATCATCTTCTATTCCTCGTTCATGGTATAGGTAGTGTTTGCGACCTAAAGTTCCGCACCGTAGAGGAAGTCGGTAAGTTTTGTAAAAGGAGCACATCATTTTAATTCTGCCCGGATACACGCCCGATGCGAGTGTTTTCATAAATTCTGTCGTCGCAGTCGACGAATTCCGCAGCATATCCCTTCAACTGGTGCAGTCTCATTATCGTACCGCAAGCACGCAAGGCATCGTAAACAGGATCGAGGTGCTACCGATTTCCTGGCATGCGACGCTTCATTCCGGCGATACCGGGATCGACAAGAAGCTGCAAGCTATCACGTTGGAAAGTATCCCAAAGCTGCGGCATTTTACCAATGACACCTTGCTCGACATACTTTTCTATACAAGTCCTGTGTACTGTCAAACCATCATGCAAACGGTTGGCAGTGAGATGAACAGATTGCACGCGCTGTTCAAGGAAAGAAACCCGACCTTTGATGGGGGGATATACATAGGCGGTCACTCGTTGGGCAGTTTAATTCTGTTTGACTTGCTGTGCCATCAAAAACCAATCGTGGAGAAGACTGAAGAGGAAGACAACGAGGACGACGGTAGTGACAAAGTAGTAAGTATACATGCAGCATAGAGATTTTAACATTATTTTCCTTTCCAGTTGATCGATATCTTAAATTAAACAACTTAAATATCTTAAATTAAACAACTTCGATGTCTCTTACGATAATTTGAACTGGCACTGGTTTAGAGAGCGTTTGCTACTCTTACAGGAAAACGAAAGTGAGAAGACAGTCAAACCGATGAAGCAAGCGCCCACGCCCGTATTAAAAAGGCGTCTCAGTAAAAGAGTTAGTTACGTAATGGGCGTGGCAGGGACTGGCCAACCTTACATACATTATCCGCAACTCAATTTTTACCCACATGCCTTCTTCGCCCTTGGCAGCCCTATTGGCATGTTCGTGACTATTCGAGGCATCGACACGCTCGGAGAAAACTTTGTCTTTCCGACTTGTCCGGCTTTCTTCAATATTTTCCATCCCTTCGATCCGGTAGCTTACAGAGTGGAATCCTTGATTAATCCTGAATCGTACAAGTACCGACCCATGTTGATACCGCATCACAAAGGCAGGAAGAGGATGCATCTGGGTGAGCAGGAAACGTTGATGATCTGTAATTTGCAAATTGAGCCATAAAGAATGTGTAAAATTCTCGGCGAGAATTATACTAATGCTAGGTCAAAATTGATGATTTAATCTAGAACTGAAGGAGACGATGGCACGTGTCGGGGCGGACTTGAAGCAAAAGTTACTCGACTCCGTGAAGAATACGTGGAATTCCATTTTCCAACTATCCATGTTTTACAAGACGGACAACCAAGCTCTGGCGAACGAGATCGACAAAGTGGTCGAGGAGCAGCTGCAGCAATCGCAGAATGAGATTGAGCAACGCAGCAGCGATGACGGTGGCGCAAACATAGTAATGGGAAAGCTAAACGGCGGTAGAAGGATAGATTACGTTCTGCAAGAAGCGCCTTTCGAGTATATCAATGAGTACATCTTCGCCCTTACCAGCCATATCTGTTACTGGTAAGTCGCATACCGTCGCGCACTCGTCGCGCTAACTCGTTACCGCTAACGTGTTACCAATCTCTCACCGCGCTTCATTCCATATCAGGGAATCCGAGGACACTATGCTCCTGATACTAAAGGAGATGTATGGAGCCATGGGTATACAGACTGATGCGCAACTTCCTCAGCAGACGATGTCGGTCGAGAGAATGTCGCCTTCACCGTCTATGAGTTTAGCCGCTTTGTCGCCCAGCGGAAGCAACGTAGGAACGCCGTCGCTCGTTATGGGGATAGACCCTACAGTGCCTATTTCCAACAAACCTGTCGGGCCGCCACCTAAGGCCGGTTTCGTAAATCGGAAATCGTGATCGACAGGATATCAAGTTTCCCGCAATTGCATGCCGCGATAATCGGATTGCGTTCTGAGAGAAATCAATCTTATTTCCGGTATCGAGAACCGAAGGAGCGACGTTGTGATTGCATCTGAACGTTGCAGTTGTGAGGCGGAGAGACCGCGGACGCGGAAATGTCAAATCAAATGTTGAGTCAAATCAATGTATTTTACGATATCTCTTTGTTATTTATAGGTTATTTTCTCATCAAGTATTTCCTAATCAACGATAGACATACGTGAAATGTTAATTATATTATGACGAGCTCGGCCTATGTGATTTATCATCTCGACCAGCTGTGGTCTGTATAAAGGAAAAATCAGTTAGATTAACTGTCAAGCATTAACGATGAGAGGATGCGAATAACGACTGAACTGGATATTTCTGCCTGTAAATAATTCGCTTTGCAATTTGCTTTCTCATTTTAGTATCGAGAGTATGCATATTCGTACATATATATATATATAAATGTATTATTTACACCTAGCCCGTGCGCGCAATTGTAAGCGTATGATTGAAGACGCGCGTGGAATGTCGAAGAGGATGGATATTGCGATGAGAATGTGCAAATGAAGTTACGTGTAAATACACGGTTTATAGACTAGTAAGAGGATTGTAGATTATATGAACTTCAACGATATATATTTCACCGAGTTATGAAAATATTCATCGGAATTCTCATGTATATGCGCGTGTTTTAATAAATTACTGTATTCTTTTACGATTCGCAAATCACTCTAATTCCCACGCACAATTTGATTACGAGCTCGTCCGTCCGCTATCGCGAATCGTAACTCGATCGATACTAATGGTATTAATATCGTGAGCGAACGTCAAATACACTCAACTATTGCGGCACGGTGACGGAATTATGTGAAACTTGGACAGCAATCTCGACATCGTGCGGTCGGCTAGTGCCGATATGTTCCTTAAAATGGTGTTACATGTCCAATCGGATCAGCGAACGGCGGCACCTTATCGCGCGCGGGCGGCTTTAGCGGGGCTAGGAAGAAAAAAAAAGAGAACGCTTCGGCACATGCACGGCTATCACGAAACGCTAATTAATTGCGGTGCAAGCCTACCAGCTTCGAGACTGCTTTGCATTTTGCGTGCAGGCCCTCGTAAAACTACATGCCTGTCAGCCCCGGCGAATTTCCAGATGATTTATCGTCCTCGCAAAACCAAGTTTTTCGCGGTACTTCGTGGCTTCTCGGCGGTTCCGAAAGGCACGACGGCCGACGCTTTCGACATGCAACTGTGGTCGCGCCGTGGGCACGATCCGTAAAGTTGACGTCTCTGATCGACTGCTATTTTATATCCTCACCATCTCAGAGCCGGGGACTGACTTTGAAATATGTTTCCTTCAATCTTTCGACATGGGATTTTCGGTCGGCACGTTTCACGGTGACCCGCATACGCTATAATTGCGGGGAAATTAAGTGCCGGCTTTTACGTGACGGCGTTTAATACGTACCGGCCGAACCTATATTGTCACGCGAATAATCATGCACACGGAAAGTCACGTTGTCACGTTGACATCAATCTTTTTCATAATTTCGTCAAATTATAACGAGTATCGAGGAGCTATACAACACGTCGACATTGACCACACTCAGATTGGAATTTTCTCTCTTAGAATATTGATACCGATATAGTAAGTATAAAAATATGCTTCTCATATTTTCTACAACTAGGGATCGCTATGAATTCCACAAAAATATATATACACCTCTCTCTCTCTCTCTCTCTCTCTCTCTCTCTCTCTTCAAATCATTTTTATTTTTGTAAGTAAAATATAACATCTGCGATACACTGACATATGCATACGCGTCGCTTTCGCACATTTTTACGTCAATGCTGTATTCTTAAATTTACGTGAAATCTACCATATTGCAAGTGGCTACTCGAGAATGCTATTTTGTACATAATATTTTCCTATACAATACACCATTCAAATCTGGCTGTCCGACGATTCGATATGCTTTGCTCGCTACTGTGTGTGCGCGCGCGATGCGCAGCTACGTTTTCCTTTTCAACATGCAAATACTCGTACATCGTGGGACAGACGTTTATGCTCAACGGCGGTAACATAAAGTGGGGTAAGGGTAAGATTTTACAACGAGCCCCGGCGAGAGTGATTTACACCTCGGAAAAACTGCACGACGTTTACGATAGCTACTCACGAATTATTTATAGCGTCTGCCTGTGGCAGGGTGAACTTCGCGAGATATATTTTTCTTCGTTTTCCTGAAGAGATCGCCGAGACGCGTCGTGACGAAGTAGATATCGTTGGCATGTTTTCATTGAAACACTCGGTTATATCCATTAGCTCGGGGAGGTACGATAGAAACTGTGCGACGAACAAAAGTGGGTCGCCAACATCTGAAAACAAATCTTTCTTCGAACGAAATCGAAAAAGACTGTTGATGTATTTTTTTTTTCTTTTTTATTATCCGGTTATCCGTTAAGCGTGTCTTATTTTACGAGGTTTTAAAAATTTATTTCAATTGTCTGCCGTTTCGAATTCTTCCCTCCAACGTTCTTGCGTTTTATCAATTTATATTATTCATAATAATTTCTTTAAAATTGTGTATGATATATAACGCAAAGAATACTACGGTAACGAAGGAGAAACGATTCTAAATGATATATTCGAAGTGCCCTGTCCTGTCACAATCGAGGATATATTTGAACCGGGGTCAAAATTTGCCGCGTCCATTCTTCACTTTGGCAATCCGCGAGATTTACGCACGCGCTAAGAGCTGACAATTCCACTATTAGGATCTTTAGACTTTCTATGCTCTAGTTGGCGGCCATAAGGTGTATTTAAATAAAATTACTCGTTTCTAACGCGCAAGTATGCGAGAAGCCGCTGCTGCGCTCGGTGGCTCGGTGTGAGGTGATTCAAGGTGTCGATATGTCGGCCGATACAACGCTGAGAACCTTGTGAGTACTTCCCAAATACTTTTCTCGTAAAAAAAAATACTTTGGCAGTGTCCCCATATTTGAGGCCCTGCGAATTTACCGAGGGTGGAAAATAGACGGGTTTTCTCTCCTTCCCTCTCGGACTCATTTTGCTAATTAGTACAGTTCCTCCTCCTTTACATTTACACAGACACTTGACGCGAGGCCAACAATTTAGGATAAATTCAAAATCTTTGTCTGTACGTTCGCTCCGACGTAGCGTGTTATACAGTCGATTTAATCCCAATGCTCGGCCCCGCGCATCGCGAGAGTGCCCCTCTCCCAGTGATTAAACGAAGAAGTATTATGATCATCCGGGCTTGGTTTATACATGTCCGTATTGCGCCGCGTTTTATTTCGCGATACGTATAACGAGTTAATGGCGACTTTATGCGCGACTCCGATGACATTTACTGCTGCTCTATTCCCGCTTCGCTCGCGTAACAGCGGCTCCCGTATTATTATCGTATTGTTTCCTGGGGGCACTCTTCATTGTTCTTCCATTACGGAAATCGAGCTCCGAGCTACGAGCTTAGAATTTATCGCGCGCGCTACGTACCGCCGCGCCGTGCGCCCTGTATGGTATACATTTCGGAAATTTGGATTTTTGCCTATTTCCGCTCTAATTCGGCTGTCGGACATATGGGTTTCTGGCACGTGTCCATCTCCCGCTATATATTCTGAACGACTCGCCGCTTCGTGACTACGAGGCATCTACTATCAAGATTTGGCGATCGAATTCGAATTTCAAATTAAGTCCCAAGTCGCGCCGCGGCTGATACTTGCATTTTCGCAGCGGCACACGGCGGCGATCGCTGCGCTAATGACGCCGGTTTCTCTCACGCGGACGCACCTGTGCGTCAACCTCGATTTGGACTTCACGCGCGACTCGAGAGAAATAAAAAGTAGCAATCGACACGAGTACCTGCGTTCAAGGCTCAGCCGCTACGCTTAACATTGCTACGTTGCACGTTACGTTGAACATGACAAAGCACAGTCTCAGCAGTTCGCTGCCACACGGCGTGAAAGATTTGCGCTTCTATGAATGTTTTCTTACTTCTTAACAAGCGACTAACGCTTGTTCTTTCCGTTGATATCGAACCAGGTACATCGGCAACTTGGATCACGCAATGTCCGAGGATCTGTTGTGCGCTCTGTTCTCCCACATCGGCGCCGTTACGAGCTGCAAGATCATCAGAGAGGTAAGATGCTATCATCTTTCTCGCAGTATCGCGTTTACGCTGTTTTACCGCGGGCGTGCGAATTGAAATGCGAAAACGCTGCGATTTCCGATCAAATTGATTACATCGGGAAAGTAAATATGTCGAGCTGTACAATATTGTTCCGCTTCGCGGATAAACATACCGGCGACACACGAAAAATACTGCTTTTTAATTATGCTGACATAATAGCTTTCGAATCACACCGGAGTAGAGCAGCATTCCGCGAATAATTGAGGCAATTTACACGATACGTTATTACACGTCGGCAGTGGGACGTGCCAGTTTCTCTCTCATGGTTTGCGTACGCCACCCTCAAAGATCATATCGTCTGCACGGAAGCAAACGCATTAAGGCAGGAATTTCTGTCGTTTATCTATCGGCAGTCGCGAGTGGTATGTGAACGTACGTCTTACTTAATGTACCGGCATTAATAGTCACTTACGCGTGATTTCAATTGTCTGGCTTAGCAATTACCTCAGTGCGTATTACTAGTGCGATCGTTATTAATTATCGTTGCAGCTGGATAGATATACCATCTAACATATCGATGGGTCCACGATAAGGATAAGGATCGGCGTATTCTTTCGCAAATTGTCGCGACATCATTTTGCATATTTCAAGTCTCAAGTCGCAAATATGTCGCGAATAATAATCGGCTCTCTCTCTCTCTCTCTCTCTCTCTCTTTCATTTTTCTCTTTTTGCTTCTTTTTTGCTGCTGGGTATTGTACACGCGCGTGTCAAATGAAAAAAAGAGCGCCCGTCCCAATTGCAATATCCCGATTATCGCCGAGCTCTTTCGAGCGAGGCGCAAATTATCGCAGGAATGCGTTAACATCGCTGGCGAAGGTCGATCATCCTTGAGCGCAAGGACAATAGGAATCGCGCGATCCGTCGAAACGCGCGTCAAACGGATGCCGATGGGCCGGCTCGCTCAAAGGAACGCTAATGTTTTGCAGACGCGTGCACCACTCACGTACGCGCTTACGTGAGTGCACGCGAAACCAAAACAACGGCCGGACAGAGACGCAAACGCCCACGAGCGTAATTGCGAAACGAACGAACGAACGGACGAGCGACCGACATGGCAGACGCGCGAGGCGACCAAACCGCGCCGTCGCGAGGTTTGTACGCTCTTCTCCTTGATTCTAGCAAGATCTAGCCTCTCTCGCTTATTTCTGTGCCCGCCTTTCTTTCCGCTCGCTCTCGCTCTCTCTCTCTCTCTCTCCCTCCCTCTCCCTCTCCTTGGCTCGTTGTATATTATTTTCCTTCTATACCGGAGGGTTGCATGCACCACGAGATATACCGCCGGTTGCACGGTGCAGTTTCGTGCGACGTAACACTTGTACATCATCCACCTTCGTGTATACGTCACACAAGTTCGTTTCTCTTTTTTTTCTCCTCATCGGCACTGTTCTTCCCTTGTTTCCCATCTGGCCAGCCGTTCCTTTTTCCTCCCTTCACTAAGCACCGAGTGTATAAGCGATACGCCGCCTATCACGGAAGATGTTATATGACTCGGAAAGTAATATTATCAAGGTACGTCAGTCTCGTTTTCTCGCGCATACTTGCAATTAGAAACGTTGAAGAAGCAATTTACGGAGGACGCGTGTATAACGGGAATTAAAACGGCTGAACTTCATTCTGCATGCTCGTGCTTCGCACGAGCGTTATAATACGGCGTCTTTTCAGGCGATTGCGCGAATTGCGAAAGCACCGTCTTGATGTAATATCTCGTGTATCTTTCCGCCGCGAACTCTTTTGTGCGTTGTACGCTCGGCGTAAAATATTCGAGTGTATTATCGAGAAACGATCGTTTCTCTCGCACGTCTGTATTTTTCTGTAGCGATTTCTGATACGCGATAAAAATAGATTTAATCAGAATGCAAATGAGAATTTTGCAGCCGACCTTTCCGTCGATTGAATGAATAAATATTGCCGGTAAAAACAAGTTATCGACTTTCCCGATCTCGAAAAGAGCAAAACAGAGCAGTCGTCAATTAAATATTGAAAAAGAACCGACGCGGTAGTTTCTTTCCTTGTTGACAAACATTACCATAAATATTGATTCTGTGACTGCGCGCGAGATTGTGAGAGCATCAAGGAGATCGGTGTCCAAACGATCGTATTTTGGCCCAGAATGAGGTAAATTCAGCAATATGGCGCAATATTGTTACGATGTAGCAATTTGTCGACGTAACACGGTTACGTCGATTGCACACGGATTGCTACGGATTGTTGTTTTGTAGAAAATATCGCACTTTTTTTGGTTTTGTGTAATTACACGTTTGGTAACTAAGACGCCGCTTAATTTACCGCCAATCTCAGTTATCTTAATGACATTTCGTTGAGGAAGTCATCACTATGAGCGAGCGCGTGTTACGAGATTCTCATAGTTAAATCACGTGTAACAACTAAAATTATAATGCGGCTACATTGTGCCCGCGTCGTGTATGATTAAGCAAGTCTCAATTAGTCAGTAAAATTTTAGCGACCAATGTCCTATGAAAGCTTTCTACCACAATTGTGCGTAAGCGGCGCTACCACAATTTCGCTTCCCAATTTCACGTCACGTGAAGCAGGAAGGATGTGAGCTTTCACTCTTGCTTTCTCATAGTCGTATATATACTATTGGGTTGGCAACTAAGTGATCGCGGATTTTAAATAAGAATGAAAATTCAAAATTTTAAATTTGCTTTTTTACATTTCTTTCAATGCATGTATGCGATACATTGAGCTTCTCTGCAACATCACGTGTTGTGCCATGACGATTTGAATCGATAATGGCCTTGATATGGGTCTCATCGACTTCAACTGGACGGCCAGATCGTTGAGCATTTTTCAATGAAAAATCACCAGAACGAAATCTGGCAAACCAATTTTGACATTGCCTTTCTTTCGAGGCTTCATTCCCATATACGGCACATAACTTCTTGTGTGCTTGCGATGCGTTCTTGCCTCTTCGGAAATAATACAATAAAATATGTCTGAAGTGCACGTCTTGCTCTTCCATTTTTAAATTGGGATAAAAACAAAACTAAAGAACTAATATCGATATAATGTTTGTACTAAATGAAAGGTAGAAGTCCAAACAATAAGAAAGAAATATAGGTTAAGTACTTTGAACACGTTAACGAAACAAAAGAAAGTGTAAAATCCATCTGTCGACAAAATCCGCAATTACTTAGTTGCCAACCCAATACATAACACTACAATAATCGCTGTATTGTCGATGGGACACGGATACTGGATTGTTCACTTTCGTTTTGCCGAGCGAAGTACCGATGCGCGTTTATCCGAGATCGTAACGTGACACTTAACATGAATAGAGCGCTTCTCCGGCTCTCTTTCCTCATTTTGCCCCTCAGTTTGGTCCAATGCTGAATGGTGTCGCGCGCACCTGTCACGATCTGTCAAGTAAAAGCGCGGTATCTTGCCGATATCGTCGACAGCGAGTACGTGAATTCGTGCTCCGAAGGCACGAAGGTCTGCCTAAGATACTTGCTGACAAGTGCCACACGAAACAGAACGCGTCTTATTTGAAAGCCACTGAATAAAAAAGTCACTCGTACATGGTTCGGCAACAGAGTATGAGCAGAGTATAGCGCAACATTCCGCGCTGTTTATTTATTAAGCTCGTCTAAACGGTGCAAACTGAACCTCGCGACGAAGTGTGTACCACTTAAATGCACAATCATACGTAATTAATTACGTAATTTACGTAATTCACTCTTACGACTCGCTCTTCCCCACATTTCTCAGTGGCGACGACTCGTCTTGATATTTACGAAGCTCGGTATATTATTATTGCAAAATAACTGTCCTGTGTTATCACGAGTTCTTTAATAAGTCCTGATCGTTACGCGGGGAAAGTCCGTACGACGAAGTAAAATATAATGATAAATGCAGTGCGGGCAATAAGGCGAAAGCGCGCAACAAACTGAAAGATGCGAGCTGTGTAAAAAACAGGTAAGTAAAAATTTATATTTATTTTAATACACTTACGTTCACGCATTTCTAAAAACACTGATGGTGTTCTTTCGTACAATAACGCTTTATTAATACCGCATAATATAGTACGAAGAAACTTGCCGCGATACGCCGCTGCGTAAACGTTACGTTCTTTTACTTGTAGTAAATACAGTTTCAGAATATATAGCAGCATTATGCGCTGGCTGGACGAGCGTGTGGCACATTTTCCGTTCGAATTATTAAAATTATTATGCAGTCGGGTATTCGCACGACATCGAATCGCCATCGTTATCGTTTCCTATAGCGACGCCGTCACCGGTATCGTTTGGATAGTTAATGCGTATCAATATTTTACGTATTCCGCATAAGAGCGCGGTGGGTATTTGCGTTTATTAGCTATAAACCCCCTACAGGTGGGTTTCACCGTCGCGAGGCGGATTTATGGGCTGCGCACTTCCCGCGAAAGTGCCGGTCGAGAGAGACGAAAGGTATTTGTGCATTATGTGTGTGGCAGTGTTGGAAAAGTGCTGAATGTGCGCGCGCTCACATTCGACGCACAGATCCGGCTTGCGTACGTTATTATTCGTAAACGGTGCTCACGTGGAGTAACCTGTTATCATCATTCCGTATCGCGACGCATCCGCTTAACTTCGCTTAAATCGGTTTGCAGTAAGAAAAAAAAAAGAAAAAAAAAAAAGCGCGCGCACGATCGGGTTAACCGATCGACTGACGTGTGGAAAATTGCGGGGAAATCTGTCAGCTTCTTCGGGTCAGATATGAAAACAGCGAGCTTTAATTTCGTTTAGCCCCTGGTGTCCCTGGACCTCCGCCATTATTGCCTTCATCAACGAGATTTTCCCCTTAGACGCTTTTACTCTCTCTCTCTCTCTCTCTCTCTCTCTCTCTCTCTCTCTCTCTCTCTCTCTCCTCGTTTTTTAATCGTGCCCTTCAGCAACGAGAGAAACGCGAGAAATATTCCCCAAACGTTCCTGGCGGGATATTTGGTGCG